GATCTCTTCTCGCCGCCTAATCAACAACGTAAAATAATAAATAAAAAAGCAACCAAGAACTGCGCAGCAGAGCCAACAAAGAAAAGTGCCTCGTTTTCACCCTTAACCCATGACAAATAAAAAAAACCAAACCAATCCCAACCCAGTCAAGTTTGATCAAACATGTCAGATACAGAGATAACAAAGATCATTTCGAGTTGCCGTGAATTTAAGAACCTTTCGTAACTGAAACCATAAAAGCAGTATTACCTGAGCGAGACGGATAGTCCCACTAAGGCAAGCCCCAAAAACGCGGCCAAAATCCACCACTTGGCCTGGTCCAACCAACTCAACACATTTTAAAAGCTAAAACTCAACATGCCAGCACAGGGCATGCACAGTTGAACTTCTTCACCACGAAGTTTTTAACATGTAAATGTAATAATTAAAATTGTATCAAAGTAAATGATTCTTTAATAGAAACTTACACCAGTTATAAGCAACTTTCACTGTTGAGTTAAAGAAAGCTACTCTTCAAAAAAACTCAAACGTTTTTGGGTTCTAATATTTTTTCTTTAAACAATAATAAAAAACATTTTTTCTCAGTAAAAAAAATGTGAAAACAAGCCTGATTATGATCTTTAATAAATAAAAACAAATTAGAATGGCTTTAAAAATAAACAAATATGAAAATCAGCTGAAAGCTAAATGATTTGCAATTGTAAATATGTATGTATACAGCCTTATAGTTTCAGTTGTCTAAGTTATCAGTAGACATCGAAATCTATGCAAATAAAAAAGGCATTCTTTTAATAAAACTCCGATTTAGAATAACCGTTATTATGCTTTTATGAAGAAAACCAAATTTAGTTTATTCAAAGTACGCTTGAAATCAAATGTTAAGAAGTTTAATTGAATTTCACAATTTTGTAAATATAGTTCCTGTTAGACGAGCTTGACTGTGAGCAGAAGGTAAAAACACACGCGCCACTAGTTGATGACGTAGCCATGGGCAATGAGGCCCCGAAACATCACCGATTCCGATTCCCCTCGTTCCGTTGATGCCCCACCTATGTACATATGTATGTATTTCCTTTTGCTTTAAAATTATGAACAGAGACGAAGAAAAAGCGCATACTAAAATTAAAACTGTTGATAATACACGCCCCAGGGCCACGCGAAATCATGAAAGGTGGAGGTGGAAATGATGTTTGCGTGTGCGTTGTTTTAGTTCCATACAATTACGTAGCTCTATCTGAAGAACCCTAAGGTGACATATGGAGCGTGGGGCGCGGGACTTGGGCTTATGTCATATAGCACACACCTTGGGAGTGCGCCACTAATCGGGAATCGGGGGACGGACTGGGCAAGGGGCTAGCCCGATAGGAATGGGGACATTTAATCTGTTGGCATTATTCTGATACGACATTATTTCACCTCCATTCGCGCTTTTATACCCTTTTTTTACACAATTCACTTGCTGATAAATATCTGATTGGGCCAAAGTTATGCTCCTTCCATTAGTGTTTTAAAATCTTAGAGAATCTACATAATTAGTCTTTCGGTTGTTAGACTAGTACTTCAATATTATACTACATTTGTACACATATGCTTGACTTCAAATCCGGTTTCTGGTTTATATGGAAACAGTTCAGTTCAGGTTTCTTTCACCACCACGTGTTAAAAGGGTTGATATTGCAGAAGACAAAGGAACATAACTTAACATAATGGATTTCAGCTATGGCAATATCTTGTATATAATTAAAACTTTATTAGGAACAGTTTTTTGAATTGTTAATACGATGCATGTGTACCTACATAAGTGATTTATTATTCCAAGTTGGCCTTTTACTTCTTTTTTTTTAATCTTCTAATTACTCTGTTTTTTTTTTCAAATCAAACATAAATATATTCTTTTAAATTAAACTAAAATTATATAACTTTTGATTTAAAACTAAAAATTTTGCTCCTAAAATATGATTAAATGAAGGATTATATTTTAGTTTAGGCCATGGCATCATTCAATGCAACCACGTGGTTTTAAAGGGTTGGCCCTTGGAATAAATACTCTTCTGATGCTTTTCCACTGTATTTTACATTTGACCAGTTTCGTTGTGGTCATCCACCTATTTTCCACGCCAGTGATATGGATAGTGGATATGGTAACCTGGAGATTCGCGTTTGGTGGTGCTTAGACGCCTCTCGTCTTTGGTTTTCCAATTCGAATGGTGGTGACTTTACATGCAGTACATAATTCTCATTTCCATTCATTGATGTGTGCAACATTTTGCCTTTTGGCTGCGCAACACAGAAAGAAAAACTAATATGATATGATAATTTTGATGTGTAAGAAATTTTGAGTAAGCGTTTCAAAAATTTTTACTTGATAGGAAAAATATTTGTTATCCTTATTCTCAAATATTTAATAAGTAATAAGTTATTCGTCAATAGTGGTATCTGAATCTTGATGGCGAACTCGATTAGTTCCCAATTCATAAACCATTAGATTGAAACCATTATAATATGGTTTTATAACATTTAAACTGTGCAATTAGAGATTTTATATAATGACGATATTTATTTTTGTGTACGTTTCGTCATTTGACAATACTTCATCTTCTTCTTCTGCTAGCTAGTGGTGGCTTCTTCTTTCTCCTTTTCTGTGTCGGCTTTTTCTGCGGGCGGGTGTATTTGTTCCTTTTCCAATTTTCATAGAAGCGTATTTGGTGGTGTGAATAAGCTTTTACCAAAAGGCTTTTTTTTTTGCTTAAGACGGGTGGTAGGTTTTTCCGCATCAGTCTATGTATTTTATTTGGCGAGGGTGGCATCTATGGCTTCTTCTGCTTTTAATCATTCTTCTGCTCCTTTTATTGTTGTTGTTGGTAGGGTTATAAGCCAACATATGACATTCAGACAAAGAAGAAGAGCCGAGAAGTCCATTTTCCGAATGCCCGATAAGCGCAGCCTACCAACATCATCATAAAAAAGAAGAAGATGCGAAGAGTGGGGAAGGGAGAAAAGAAGGAGAGAAGGAAGAAGCAGCGATTTGATTGCAGAACAAAGGGAAGCGGACACAGAAATCTCTGCCACACACACTGACAGAAGAAGATGAAAAAGAACTTCAAGTGGAAGCAACAACAACAACAAAAAGCGAGCGGCAGAAGAGATGAGAGTACAAAAAAAAAACCGTGACGCCATTGCCCATTTGCTTTTGTTGCTTGCTGCAAAGTGGCATAAAACAGATGCAACAACACGGCGAAAGAGAAGGAGAAAAAGAAGAAGCGAGTGAAATTCTTATCAGTCAAGTTTTTTTTTAGTAAAAGCCAGACAAAGAAAAAGGGGAAGGGCAGTCAGTTCTCTCAATTAGAAATCTATTTGCAGAAATAAATGCAGAAGAGAGAGCGGGATGCAAAAAAGAGAAGGATAGAAGGCGAAGCCCGCATTATTGCGAAGCCTCTGTAATGCACCAATACACACACAATACATATACAAAGCCAAAGCAATGCAGGCCCTTCAAAAAACACTTTTGACTTTAGTAATTCCCAGTTCTCGGGAATAACCAATCCTAAATCAAAAATAGTTTCTAAATCTAAGACATGTGACCATGTCAGTGAGGTAAAATTGGGCAACTCTTTGATAAATCAAGAGAAAATAAATAATACAAGTTAATATTCCGGAAAACAGTAACAGAAGTCGGACTAGCATTAACAGTTGCACCTAACATTTAACTTTTAACAGCACAATGCAACTAGTTGCCTCCCTCTCTGCTTTTCTCTTTGCCTTTTCATTCTCCGCTTCTGCTTCTGTTTTTGTTTGGTTTTTTTTTTGCCGGTTTTGTGTTATGCGCACACTTTTATTTTGTTTCGTATAAATAACAAATTGCTTATGAAATCGCTTGTAAGCTGTGTGTGTGTTTAGATCAATTGGCACCCCATTCCACAACCACTACACTCAAGCAATTTGTGCTTAACCCTTCAAACATGCCGTTTTTTTTTGGAGGTTATATCAATAATAATCATTATAATAACGAGAACAGCAAAGCACATCAACTAAACAATGGCAGCTTAGCGACTAAAACCAATACACGCACACCTCTCTCTATAACAAAGCCTAACAAAGGGGTTAGAAAAAAGAGGCGCTGCGGAGGGGCGAGGCGTGGAAAGACGATAACATAAACGATAATCAAAAGAATTTAACTAAACAAAGCTCTAAAAACAGAGGGATACTCACACAAAAAAAGAAAAATAAGTTTTAATACCCTCGCAGTTAAAAATCATGTACAAAACAATTAAACTTTTTAAACAAATTCTTGCTATATATTCAATCCGCCAGATTTTCAACGATTGTTAACGTTCAATGTTAATTAATTTTAACATGTTACAAACATTAAACACTTAAATACTTAAAACATAGGTTATACAAAACAGTTATTCATGTATGGGGAATTTCAAAACAAACAAATAAAAAAAATACTGAACTTTCAACTTGATAAAATGCCATTTCGAAACTTTTGTTTGCCTTATCAGTTATTCTCTATGTGTGCGATATTACCTCATTAGCACAATCATAAGAAATTCATGGCAATATGCAAGTGACACACTTGCCAAACAAAACCCCCTTTTCCTTTTTCATTTTTCCTGGGGTAAGATTTGCGCACGGACTCCAACTGTAGTCCATTGAATTCCAAATTCCTATTGACAGATTCGACATAACTTTTTCAATGGAAAAATTAAATTAAAAATTTAAATTTGACCAACTTTTACTAACAGTTAAAAATTAAAAATCTAAATCCAGTTCAAATCAAAATAATTTTTGAAATAATAACTTTTTAGAAACGATCGGAAACGATTGCTAAATCTTTAGTAGCATTTAAAAATAGTTCCCTAATGCAAACTTTTTTATAAAATTGGAAATCTTGGTATTGTAACTGGCACTGGAATTGAATATAAGAAAATCTTTTCTCGTTTTAATCCCCTCTTATTGACCCGATATCGATATAGAAAAAACCCAATTGTACTCACTTTTCGCGGTGCAGCAGACAGATTCGATCCTTAGCCACCTTCAGCTTCTTGGCGATGATCTTTTTCAGACTTTCCACACTGATATGCGGTTCGACGCTGACGCCGAAATTGCCGCCGGTGGTGGTGCTGATGTTCAGGTTGATCGTCATCGGGGATGCCACCACAGCACTTGTTGTTGTTGCAAGGCGCTGCAAGGCATTGGTGTTGTTGGTGTGGTTGTTACTACCGCTGCTGCTGTTGTTATTGCTGCTGCTGCTTGTGCTGCTGCCACACCCAGCTGCTGCTGCTGCTGTTGTTGTTGCCTCGTTTTGGCCATCGGCAGTGGCCGAGTTCGTGGCCGCTGATTTATCCATGTCCGGTGTTTATTTTTTGTTTTAATTTTCTTTTGGTTTTGGGAGAGCCCGTCCCTCTCTCTTTCGGTTTTTCTCACTCACTCACTTAAGAGGACTCACAGGCAAAAAAATAAAAGCAAATTTACTGTTGAAAATCGCGTAACGGCACACACGCGGAGACTGCGATGCGATAGCTTGGTTCAAATTGCCAATCGATTTTCTATACACACCACACCTTGCACACGCACGCACACACACGAACCGAACACACTCGCTTGCACACACACCCGACGTAACGGTAACAGCAACGTAACGTAACGCAAAGAGAGGCCGCTCTAATCGATTTTCGGTCTATCAGTTTGTGGGGTGGGCGAGGCGAAGCGGTGCGGGGGCGGATTACGTGAGAGCGACTGCGGAACGACGATAGCAACAGCGAAGAAGGGGGCAGTGGGGAAGGCGGTAAATCTGAATCTCTGCCCAGGTACGCATGTATGAGAAAGAAGACGAAAAAACCCGTATTGTGCTATTATATTTAGCTAACTGCCGAGTTAAACAGCCAACTTTTTCGTGTCCCGGTGTTTTCTTGTTTTTTTAAATTATTTTTGTTTGTTCACCTCAGTCCACGCGTCTCCTGGTTTTTTTTTAGTTTCTGCACAACAACCACTTCACACACACACACACACTCGGCCTGAAGAGTCACACACACTGGCAAGTCAAGCGGCGCCAACCGCCAAAGAGCATCTAAACCGCTGTTCGCCGCCGCTAGAGCTGCTAGAGCTGTCACTCCACTGATGGCACTATCGATAGAAACGCCTGCAGGCGATAGGCTGCCCAGGCAACATCGATGGGCGCGATAGTATCGCTGGGAAGAAATCTATTTTAAGTTAATAAATTTCCTCCAAAAGCCCAATTTCTAACTAAATTGAGATTTTAAATTCATAACATAACAGCTGTTACTATTGCGTTTTCTGATTTTGTTATTGTTCTTATACAAATAAAGACAAATAATAGCGTGTTTTTTTAAGAAAGACGCAAAGCCTTAAGTTTGCTAAGCTTAAACAATCATGCTGCGTTATTACGTTAGTCCGATTTCGGTAGTTCATATATGCTTTGGCATAATCCAAAGTGCACGCTTTGAGCGGATGTAATCGCACGTCAAGCGTTATTTCGTAATCGATAGGCAACGCGCGTTAGTGTGACCGCACTGCAAAGCACGAATTTAAATACATATCTTGTGGGCATATTTAGTGTCTGCTCCGGGTTCGCCGGGTATATTTGAAGGGACGCCGGGCGGCCACACCACTTCACGAACTTCATTCGCCAGGTTAGCACGCGGCAATTGGACTCCAGCGGACTGGTAAGAGGCCAAACCATGTGCTCGCTGGCATTCCAGCCCAATCAGCCCGGCCCGGGTCCAAATCAAAGCCAAGCAATTAACCTTTTCTTTCCCCGTTTATCAATTGTCTTTCTCCAACGTATTCTCTTCTCTTTCTGCCGTGTTTTCGTGTATGTGTGCCCCCTAATTGCGTCTCGAAAGCTCTCGAGGAATCTGTATACCCAATACGATCCCATAAAAACGCCACCAGAAGGAGACCGAGCATCCAGCGGTGTTTATCTGTATCTGGCTTGTTTTTGTCAGCTCCCCGTTGCTGTTTGTTGACTGTTTTTGGGTTGAACGCACGCGGAAAATGGAGAGCAAGCCAAAGGTGAATGGCTTTGTGGACGCGGCCGGCGGTGAGCCGAAGGAATCGCTGAACTCGGGATCTCTCGAACTGCAGGATGGCCTGAGCTGTGGGGAACTCTTCCAGAACGGCGACGGGCTCACCTACAAGTAAGTGATGCTGAAGCAAACAAATCCAAATCAAACTCACATCACATTCCCCTATCCGAAATCCCAAAATCCCTTTAGCGACTTTCTCATACTACCCGGCTACATAGACTTCACCGCCGAGGAGGTCGATCTCAGTTCGCCGCTGACCAAGTCGCTGTCGCTGCGGGCACCGCTGGTTAGTTCGCCCATGGACACGGTAACCGAATCGGAGATGGCCATCGCCATGGCGGTAAGTATCTGATACCATGTGTATATGTATGAACGGCCCAGATCCGCTGGCGGGTTCGCCTGAGCTGTGCTAGCTGTGGTTGTAACTCAACACTCTTATGCGCCTCTCTAACCGCCAATGTTTCTATCCAAAAACCAAAATGCACATTCGACAATCAACAAATCCACAATGCATTGCATCCATTTTGAATCCCGCGCGCAGCTGTGTGGTGGCATTGGCATCATCCATCACAACTGCACGCCGGAGTACCAGGCGTTGGAGGTGCACAAGGTTAAGAAGTACAAGCACGGCTTCATGCGCGACCCCTCGGTGATGTCGCCCACGAATACGGTGGGGGATGTGTTGGAGGCGCGTCGCAAGAACGGCTTCACCGGCTATCCGGTCACCGAGAATGGCAAGCTGGGCGGCAAACTGCTGGGCATGGTCACGTCCCGGGACATCGATTTCCGTGAGAACCAACCGGAGATCCTGCTGGCCGACATCATGACCACGGAACTGGTGACCGCCCCCAATGGCATCAATCTGCCCACGGCGAACGCCATCCTTGAGAAGAGCAAGAAGGGCAAACTGCCGATTATCAACCAGGCCGGCGAGCTGGTGGCCATGATTGCACGCACGGATCTTAAGAAGGCCCGCTCCTATCCCAATGCCTCCAAGGATTCCAACAAGCAGCTCCTCGTCGGCGCCGCTATCGGAACGAGGTCGGAGGACAAGGCGCGACTGGCACTCCTGGTGGCCAACGGCGTGGACGTCATCGTGCTGGACTCTTCGCAGGGCAACTCCGTCTACCAGGTCGAGATGATCAAGTACATGAAGGAGACCTATCCCGAGCTCCAGGTCATCGGCGGCAATGGTGAGTTTCCTATTTGTGTTTTAGGCGGTTTTAAACAGTATTATCAGTGACCGATAATACAAATATTTTTCTGATTTGTATGCCAGAAAACACGCTTCAAAGTAGCTGCAAAAGCATTGGATTTATACCATTTGGTTACTACTTGGATAATCTTTCCAAAGTCGCAATGATCGAATTATAAATGTTCATTCTTTAAATATTTACAAAACAGTCATCATAATGCAATATTTATAGTACAGCTCAAAAATATTTTTGTTTTTCATAGAATATGTAAAAAGTTATTTAGTTTAATAATCTATTTGTTTTAAATAGTGTTTTTATTTAAAATATTGCATATTATTTTTTTCTTTTCCCTTACCCACGAGAGAAGAAAAACCCATAATTTGGTCATCCGATTTAAATGTTCGTACATTGACCGTAACATTTTTGGGGGTCAAGTACATTTGAGTGTCTGTATCAATATAATATATTTTTACTTGAGCTTCAGAAACAACAGCTGGTTAAAAATATTCCTAAATATTATCTCTATTTTGTTATTAATAAAATGACTTAATAGTGTGAAGGTTTAAGAAATTGAGGCTTTCTCCGTGTTTTAGAAGAGCACAGACATAGGACGCCCTTGTATTTGATGTTACACATTCACAAAAAAAAACAAAAACAAGAAAGGAAAGCTAACTTCGGGCGGGGCCGAAGTTGAAATACCCTTGCAGAATATTCTGCAAATTATATTCTCAAAATTATTCATATGATGCATTCTTAATACTCATAAAAATCCAAACTTCCTAACTTTAAAAACACCAAAGTTATGGCATTTCCAATCGTTCAGTTATGTATATGGCAGCTATAGAATATAGTCGGCCGATCCTTATGAAATTTGATATGTCGGATTGATTGGGCAAAAATAAAACCCATAGAAAATCCCAACTTCCTAACTTAACAAACACTAAAGTTATGGCATTTCCGATCAATCAGTTATATGGCAGCTATAAGATATAGTCGTCCGATCCTTATGAAATTTAATAGGTCGGATTAATTGGTCAAATATAAAACCCATAGAAAATCCCAGCTTCCTAACTTTACAAACACCAAAGTTATGGCATTTCCGATCAATCAGTTTATAGCAGCTATAGGATATAGTCGGCCGATCCTTATGAAATTTGGTACGTCGGATTGATTGGCCAAATATAATACCCATGAGAGTCCCAACTTCCTAACTTAACAAACAGCAGAGTTATGGCATTTCCGATCAATCAGTTATATGGCAGCTATAGGATATAGTCGGCCGATCCCGGCCGTTCCGACTTATATACTGCGTGCAAAGGAAAGAAGGGGTGTGCAAAGTTTCAATTCGATATCTTAAAAACTGAGAGACTAGTTCGCGTAGAAACAGACAGACGGACAGACAGACGGACAGACGGACAGACGCACATGGCTATATCAACTCAGGAGGTGATCCTGATCAAGAATATATATACTTTATAGGGTCGGAGATGTCTCCTTCACTGCGTTGCACACTTTTGACCAAAATTATAATACCCTCTGAAAGGGTATAACAAGGCATCCAAGGCTTTTGATAAAGTCCTATAATTTTGTTTTGAGAGCAATTATGTTACCATTATCTACCGATATGACTAATAACGTCGCGATCAAGTACATATTGTTGGAGCAATAATAAATTGGGGTTCAACCATATTGCTATCTTTATTATCACGAGATGGCTTTTGGGGAGCACGATTATAGTGTTTCCATTCTTGTTGTTGAACTAAACTTAAATATATTTAAACACATTTACCTTATTATTTCCTAGCGCTAAAATAAAGTTAGCTTTAAAATTACGAAATCAATACAAAATTTTATTTTTCAATTTTAATCATGTTTTTCTTTATATTTTTTTAGTGGTGACCCGTGCCCAGGCCAAAAATCTCATCGAGGCTGGTGTCGACGGACTGCGTGTCGGCATGGGCTCTGGCTCCATCTGCATCACCCAGGAGGTGATGGCCTGCGGATGTCCCCAGGCCACGGCTGTCTACCAGGTGTCCTCGTACGCCCGCAAGTTCGGAGTGCCCGTGATCGCCGACGGCGGCATCCAGTCGATCGGACATATAGTGAAGGCGATTGCCCTGGGAGCCAGCGCCGTGATGATGGGCTCCCTGCTGGCCGGCACATCGGAGGCACCCGGCGAGTACTTCTTCTCCGATGGAGTGCGCCTGAAGAAATACCGCGGCATGGGCTCCCTGGAGGCCATGGAGCGCGGTGACGCCAAGGGCGCAGCCATGTCGCGCTACTACCACAACGAGATGGACAAAATGAAGGTCGCCCAGGGCGTCAGTGGAAGTATCGTCGACAAGGGCAGTGTGCTGCGCTATCTGCCTTATCTGGAGTGCGGATTGCAGCACAGCTGTCAGGACATCGGCGCCAACTCCGTGAAAAAGTTGAGGTAAGCTGAAAAGGTCTTATTTTCACCCAGTGTATATAATAATGATCTAAGGATGTCTGTTAAAAGTTCATTAGTTAAGAGTACCTACTTAGTTTGCCTCTTATTCCGATTAGTTACATTGTGATCAGGTTATATTATTATAATGGGCTTCTTACAACGAGTTGTCCATTGTGTTGTTGTATATGCATTACATCACTTTTCTAACCATTGTGGTTAAACATAAAAAAAACTGTTTAAAAAAATAAAAAAATCCTAAACTTAATAGAAATTATAAGCTCAACCTCAAAAATAAATTGGAAATAACATTGCTAAGATTGCTAAAGATATCTAAAGATACAATTTGATACATATTTCAAGAATTTTACCTTCAATACACCAGGTATCCAAATATAATAATAATTATCTTAAAAATACCTGTTATAAACAAATTGAAAACTAGTGAGATTGGTTTTAAATAATACAAATATGTAATAATTGTTAGTTGAGTTGTATCTGTAAAATTTATAGGACCAATTATAGAATATTCATTATATTTAATAATATTTTTTTTATGTTTATAAAAATTTTCTAATTCAATTGGTAAATTTAAGATGAATCTTACCAGTATGTCTACCTGGCTTTAAAGCTTTAAAGGTTGGATTTGATATTTATACTGTTATTACTTTACTACTATTTTTGTTATTAATCTTGTTACACTTTTCCGATACTTTATTCCTTTTTTCCCAGGGAGATGATCTACAACGGCCAACTGCGCTTCATGAAGCGCACCCATTCCGCTCAGCTGGAAGGCAATGTCCACGGCCTCTTCAGTTACGAGAAGCGTCTGTTCTAACATACGACGACGGCTGCGGCGGAAATGGGCAGTGGAGGAGTGGCTGCCCCTGTCCCACAGCAGCAGCAGCAGCATCAGCAGCAGCAACAGCATCGCCACCGTTCTGGAGCAGCCAATATGCTCGACTACACCCGCCTATTCGATCGCAAGTGAAGATTGGAGAGAATCGAACGCCCGAATGGCGCACCCTTTTCCCCCTGGAGTTTTACCAGTGTTAGGCTAAGTCTCTTTGGAATCGCCGACGTCAACGATTCCGATATAGATTCCCCCGTTTTAATGGCGCTGGAGGTTACCTCGAATCGCCCGCATACATGTGTATACCTTATCCATCTGTCTGGTAGACAGAATCCTAATATTAAGTGTTTACAGGCAAATTGATCTGTATTGAAACTATGTAATCTTCATATATTTGCTATATATATCTTTATCTACATCAAGCGCAACGCGTTGGTTGGCCGCTTACTTATTTGGCACGCTATATGTACATAGATGTTAACCTCTATTTGTATAGTGTTGGATGTTTACTATTATAATGAAGCTCGCTTCAAGGTTTAAAACTCTGCCAAACTTATTAAATGTGAACTGAAACTAAATGAAACGTTAAGTGAACTGATTTTTAATTCGGAGGTCTTGAGCCCTATCAGCACTTTTGGAATGGGGGATTAGGCCTTATCAGTACACTAAATATTGTAATATGTTTTCGCTTCCCTATCAATTGTGTACAAAAGCTTGATTATCTGATTTTTCCTTCAAAAAGGTTTTGTTAAAATTACAATATGTTAAACACATTTTAATCGATTTTATTGTGACCTAAAAGTTTTAAGCAGGGATTTTGACTTTAAAAGCTATACAATTATAAGAAAGTTTCTTATTTTTAATAATTTAAGGTTTCGATGTCCCGATTCCATGTAAGTATATGTTTCACAAAGAAAATTTTCTGAGGAGATATTTTTTTTCGTTCACCACTTCAAAATTAAGACACAGGAATTTTTTTTGAGAATATAGATGTATATATTTCGATATATTGAAGTACATAAGTATACGTTTGATTATAGATTGAAATTAGCAATGAATCGAAAAGATTTTGATGTTGGTTAACCCTTGGTAAGGACACTTAAACAAGCTATATACAGTGTACAAAAATGCCGTTAAGAGCCAAAGTATAGACATAGAAAATTGGGGTTACGTACGAGATTTTGGAAAGCAGTCACTCAAACACACAATATTACTCGCGCTCTCTTTCTCTCTTTTGCTAGTTCTCGCTCACACCCACTCAGGCTTATCAAAAATATATGTATATAATATATATGTATGTATATGGTAATATATATGTGTATATTTGGAGCTAAAGCTTTATTTTCGCGACCTGATTTCTCTGCATAGTTTTCCTAAAAAATTTCGATTACCATTAATAGTAATGCTGTTTATATAATCATACTATTATCGGAAAAACTTCATTAAATGTTATTATTGAAAGTATTAAATATTTGACCTATAAAATATGTATGTTAAAGCTCATCATATAAAGCCAAAGAAATTTTAAAAATCTGATCTACTAAAATCAAAAAATTTATTTTTTCATTTTTAAAAATATTTAATTATTTAAAAAGAAAACTATTTTAAATTTTTGGAAAAAGGATCCTGAATCAATATTCCGGGTATTGACTTCTTCCATAAAAACTGTAAGTAGAATATTTTGTATTAATCTTCTTGAAAATTGAAAATTCTATTATGTGGCATTCCACCAACTGTGAATTTTCAACTTGTCTGAGAAATCAGTTCGTAAAAATGTGTCTTAAGGGAAAAATTCCATTTCGACTCAGATAAGATCGAATCGATTGGATTGGGGTGGATCGAGTTTGGATTGGATGGGGCATCTCAATGGGCGGGATTTTCGGGGGCGAGGCAATGCCACTTTTCATGGAAGTGGTCCGGCAATCGGATGCAGTCGAGCCACTGCTGCAGGCGGTCACCCTTGCTCTGGGCGCCCAGCTGCAGGCTGCCAAGGAAGTCGTTGCTCTTGCCCAGATCCTTGTCCCAGACGGTCAGGATGAGCATCTCCTTGTTGAGGTCGTGGGGACTCGCCTCGAAGTAGAACTCCTCGTTGTAGATTGGATTGAGCGTGCGCCACTTGACGCTGGTCTTGTGCTTCTTGTTTTTGTGCGCATCCGGTTTGAGTTGTCTATTCCAAGGGATACAAATCGGAATGGTTCAGATCAAATTCCGTGGAGGATCATATAACTCACATTTTGACGAAGGGATCGGAGCTGCCGTTGTTGTCCATGGCCATCAGGTTGATGCACTGCTTCACATTCACCACCAGCGCCCTTCGCTTGGTGTTGTAGCAAAGTGAGAGGAGCATCTTGCCGTTGGGCCAATTCTGAGCCATCTCCGCCGCATTACTATACTGGTCCTCCACGCCCAGTGGCACCGAAATCCGGTACTGCGATGTGCTGTGCACCTGGAAATATATATATTTAAAATACATTTTATTCAACTTTTTCTTGGCTTTATTTTATGGGGTGATACAAATATTATTTTAATGCAGATCTTTAAAGTCATAGATTTGTTAACTCTAATAAAATTCACTTTCAATCGGTTAAAGAATACTGCCATTTTGAACTCCTGTCAACCTTAACCTAATGTAACCTTATTTATTTGACTTATTTTTTTCAAAGAAGTGCATTAAAAAATACATAGAACCTTCAACTAAATAAGATAACATCGTCAACCGATAAAACATTTTTAAATTTTGTAGCTATACATAAAACATTTTATTGCACTTTAATGGGCTTCTCCATTTTGTTCACTACTTAATGTAAAGTTAATTTTACTTCTGTCTCCAATTTGGTAGTTTTAGATTAAATATTTAAAATGCCTTTTGGTGGTAGTGAACAAGTTTAAAGACAGAAAAGCACCTAACTGTGAAAAGTACTTATCTTTATAAAATTAACTGAATTTCTTTTTACCAAAACGTTTGTGAATAAACTCGGTTGTTAGCACGAAATGCCTGAGGGTCTTTTTACGCTTCCTGAAGGATACGAAGCATTGCACAGAACAAAATGTATATATTATTTTTGTATTTATGATTATCCATATCTATTTGGAAAACACATGATACAAAGTGACAGATGTCAAATAAAATATTAATGATCACATATATTATATATGGTTATCAGTTTTCATCGCAAGCGTTAAGTTATTTAATATTATTAAATGATTTCAGTATAAAATTGATATAAATAATGCATATATAAACGATAACTAGAGAATTATTTAGCAAATTTATTCAGCCTTCAGATGCTTGAATAATTGGTTCGAGCTTAATTCGAATTCAAAATGCAATCCCGAAAAGTAGTGTTTTACTAATTTAACTCAAATCCTACCAAAATCAATAGTGTTGTATTGATAATTTATAAGTTCGGCTAGTTAAATGTTTTTTATTTTAGTTGTATGATCATTTTTACATGAGTTTTAGTTATACGAATATATTTTTATAAATTGGCAAATATTATCACACTTGACAATTTATAAAACGTCAAACTAACTAAACAGAAATCTCTGGAGGTCTAAAATATTGCTATGAAATAAATTGATTCTGTAAGTTCGATAGATGAGAACCACGTTCTTTTTTTCACAGCATCCTTTTAGACACCTTTTCAAGTTTCCATCAAACTTACAGACTTAAAATCTTACTTCATATCATTATACCATTTTAAAAGTTATTTAAATATTTTCTGTATCTCAATTTTTTTGGAAAAACTTTGGGGTACTTATCATATTTTACTTAATAACCAACAAGTTTTTTTCTTGGTGTGCCTGGAACTCACCGTGGAAAGGCAGACCTTGGCCGCGCCGAGGAAGTCGTGGCCGTACTTGTCGTCGTCGAAGAGGGCCACGTAGAGCAGCGAGTTGCCCAGCTCCTCCGGCTCCACGCCGACGAACTGCAGCGTTTCGTTGAACTCCGGATTGCGTGTCTTGTGCACCGTTTTGGTGCGCTGCCATCGCGTGTATTTGGTGTGCGCCTCCGGCGTGATGATGTTCAGCTTGCAGTACGGATCGGTCAGTCCGGACGAGTCCATGGCGGGCAAGTCCCGAGCCCGCATCATGGTGCAGTCGAGACTGTGGAAGGCCTCCCGATAGCTGATGGCGATCTCCAGCCAACCGAGGAGCGGATCTCTGCAGTGCTGCTGCTGTTGCTGATGCTGCTGGAACTGCGACTGCGACTGGGAGTTGCCCGAGTTGCCGGATCCGGAGCCGGAACTGTCGCTGATCGACCAGGAGGAGCTGACGGAGCCGCGGCGGAGGAAGCTGCTCTCCCGCCTCAGCTTGGACATGCTGACGCTGTCGTACTCGGGACACTCCGACGGCCGCTGGCTCTGCTGGCGGCCAAAGAAGAAGGAGTTGGACAACTTCCGCTCGCCGCCGTCGATGAAGCTGCGTATGGAGCCGTAGGCCCTCAGACGGAAGCTATCCTCCCGTTGCAATCGGCCGGAGGACATGCCCTTGGCCACGTCCCCGTTGGCACCGCCCACGCTCAGGCCATTGCCGGCGTCCACCTCGTCCTCCGGGTCCGAATGGCCGCTGCTGCTGGAACTGCTGTCGTTCACCCGGATCGTTAGCTTCTTCACCCGCGCCGGACGTGTCGGCGTCGCATGGCAACTTTGAACGGATACGGCCCGTATCGCGTCTCCTGCGATAACAGATACAAATACAGCGATTAGCGATAGACGTCAATCGATAGGTTGCCGATTCTTCCGATGGCAAGTGCTCCTTATCGATTGGAACTTGGTTTGGAATGAGACTATAATTCCGATTCTCAGTTTCATGCGATAATAGCGATAGTCGTACGGTTGATGATTTCCGATTAAGACTGCGCAAATGCACTTAAAACTGATCATCATATTTTTTTGGGTAACTATCAGATTCCGATTCACAGACCGCAATCTTTACGACAAACGATTAACTAGATAGAACACCGATTATAGCGATGGTCCTACGATGATAATAGCGATAGTCGTAAGATGATAATAGCGATTGTCGTTGATAATTCGAAGTTATTTAGTGGTGGTTGCTCTGAATGAAAGATTATATTTATCGACGAGTGATGAATTTGAGCTGGAATTGGAGAAACATCAGTAGAATTCGAGGGGAATTCCTGAGTTTTAATTAATTTCATGGTCATTTTTATCGAACCGATTTGGAGATGGAATTGGTAAATGACTCTGAACGAACTACACTTATTGACTTTTTTATGTTAACCCATCCGGTTGAAGCTCTGATTATGGTTACCATAAAAGAAGCGTCTCTAACGATTTATTTGGAATTGGACTATGGAAATTGAAACATTTCATGATGTTCCTGAAACGAAATTCGAAAACAAATGTTTAGCTGTTTTTAAAAACCATTTGTGGGTTCCGTAGGTGTTTAACATTCAGCATTTCACCAATAACATGCTTAAAATTCAAAAATAATTTGTTATGACAGGCTTGAAACTATTTTCAAGTCAGTAAGTATAAGTTCAACAAGTTTTCTGTTTCCCCGGCTTCGTCTCTGGATTTCTTTAATCTTTTCTCTGCATTCTTTTAGTCACCACATCACTTGATTAAGAATCTCTAGAGGCTTACGTAAAATGACTAAAATACTGAAGCGCAAACCCTCTGCTAAGGCTCTTGTTTTCATTAAATATTTATATAACCCATTGTCATTTATTAATAAACATTACAAGGGAAGCTGACTACAAGTTCCGAGCTTAGGTTTGGGCTGAATTAAATCAATATTTTGCTTTGTAAAGGATTACAAATAATGCGGATAATATAACATTTTGCAGGTATATACCTGTTTGTGTTGCCTTTAAATCTCGAGGTTGTTAATCAATAGTTTATGTGTCTGAAAGTATGCAATACAATATTTTACCTCGACACTTACCAACATGAAAACGATTTCGGTGTGTGTAAAGTAAACATTTTTTTTACTACGTAGCCCTTAGCCGTGTATTATTCTTTAATGAACATTTTACGATTTTTTAAAAGAAATATGTGCGGTTGTTAAAACGAAAATGGCACAATATGCAACACACAATAAAAACCCAAAGTTCTTTTTAAACTATGTATGTTAAACCCTAGGGAGATTAAATACAAATAATTATTAATTCAATACCAAATAATATAAAGCCTATACCTTGTTTATTTAATTTCATAGCCGAGTTTTAATTTTATGTTTTGTGTTCTTATTGGAATATTGAAAGTTGAATTTAAATACGTTCGAAACTTTTTTTCTACCCTATTGTTTATACTCAACAGATTCGAATTTATGAAATAATAGTTTTGTTTAAAACAATTTTTATTATTAATTATTAAAATTAAGTGCCTACTGAACCTTTTAGATGTGTACAAAAATGTTGTAAGAACCTGTCTCTTTACCAGTAAAGCGAATACAAGTTAAATGAAATCAGTTGACAAGAGTCCGGCACGAAAATATTGAATGTAATTTCCTTATCTAGGGAGACACCACAATCGTAGCCATAATTGTATTTGGCAATTGTCCTTACATTACTGAGGGTTTCCGTAAGCTTCCGAAATGCCTTTCGAGCTTTGCGTTCAAGGATTGAGGGCAAGGGGTTTAAATTCCTAGCACGTCCACGGTTTTCCATCCCATGCTACTGGACAGCCCCCTGAAATGGTGAAGTACTGAAATGGGGCCACCCACCTGCCATTGATCCGGGGAGTCCCGGGTTGGGAATGGGCGTGGCACTGGCGCTGCGCGGCATGTCGTACTTGGGCAGGCCCTTGAAGAACCAGGCACCGGACTTCTTCCACATCTCGCGGGTCTCGGAGCAGATGCGGCACAGCCAGATCTCGCGGGTCCGCTCGCTGGTGTGGTAGCGGATGTTGATGTCCACGCTGCACTTGGCGCACACCGACTGGCGGCAGTCCTCGCACAGGATGCGCTGCGGCCGCAGGATGCCGAAGGTATCGCCGCAGAGGCGACAGCAGTTGGGTCCGCGCTCCACGGCATGCTGCTTAATCTTCTCGACCCGCTCCACCAGCCGACCCACCCGCTGTCGCTCGGCCACCTCGATCTCCTCGTTGCGCCGGATCACCGAGATGATCGCCTCCTGCTCCTCCGGACGCAGCGGCTCACTGGACTTCGAGCTGCTCCAGCCGGCTTTTAGTCTGCAAAAAAATTTTAAAAAATATGTATTAAACAACGAAAAAAGGGGAACTCACTTCGGTTTACGATTTGATACCGCATTTTATCTACTTTTGGTTTTTACACTTTAATTTAGTATATATTGCCTTAAAATTTAAAATTAGTTTTTTATCCATGCTAATTGTATTTATTTCTCTTGAAAATACAATTTTCCAAAATTAAAATTTTTTAATTTATCTAACGAAATGGAAAAACAAAATAAAGAAATAGTTTCGAAATCGATTCGCAATTTGGTAACCTACAAAAAAGTTCATTCTCATAAATGCACATTTCGGAAATTGTTATTTATTAACCGATACTTTGTAATTTAATAGAGGTATTCAATCTCTTATTAAAGAAGTGTAAGAGCAGGCTACAACATAGTCAAAAGCCAGAAGTCCGACATCACCTGAAATGGTTTAAGGGATTTCTGTGGAATTCTAATTCTAATTATTAATTCTAATGTTTTATAATGATTAAAGGTCTTAAAAACAAACGAAAATTTCATATTAATGTATTTAATTTGGAGTTTAATTAGAAATTGATCTTATGTTTTTGAGGTGGGTTAAATTGGATTGTGAGGGAAAGCGGGTAATTATTAATGTTTACGGTTTCTACGCAAATGTCTAAAAGGTGTAAAAATGTGTGGTCTGGGGACGAGCGGCAGCCTAATGAGCATCGTTAGTTGTGGGTCGCCTAATGCGGTTTCCATGTTGCCCGGCCACTCGGCCAAAAAATTCAGGTTCAAAGTTAATTAACTTGTTCATGCTGTTGGGTCCCGAGTGCTCGGTTCATTTCACCCAATACTTAAACAACGCAAGACTCTGTGGAGAGTATAAAATTGGACTGGAAAGAGTCGAAACTTTGTCAGATATATTGTTTGTTTTTGTTACCAGGAAATGGTAGAGAAATTGTTTTTTGTTTTTATATTTGATGTCTTAAACTTAACATACTTATATTAATAACGTCCCTTATGCACATTTAAAAGAGTTTAAAGGATAAGATGAATCTACCAAAAGCGATGCACAATCTATTACGTTAATATTTTAAAAGGGCATTTAATTAGTGTAGATGATAATAAAATAATAGAGCTAAATTTGCATATATTCTCTATTTCAATGATTTGTTGGTAAATTATAATATAATAGTGTTATTCGATTTCAAATTATACAACCTTTTTAACTATATCCAGTAATTTTGACTCCTTCGGCTTATTGTGTTATTTTAAATATTGGTTAAAAATGTCAAATGCAAAGGTTTTAATATTTGTTTAAGAATTATAAATATAAACATTTCAAATATTAAAATCAGTACTTTAGATTTGCGTCAAAATGGGCCATAAAATATAGTAATATAATTAAATAGTTCTATGTACAATTTTGATTTGAAAGCCACACAATTGCTTAGCAGCCAAGCGATTTTTACTTTATAGCTCATTAATAGTACCTGGCAACTAGTAACCTCTTAGCTGGCTCATTTGCATAGCTACGGATTGTTCCGTTCTGGCATTTAATGTTTTTTTTAGCTTCGTGTTGCCTTCACGCCGGGTTTATTGACTTCCCGTGTTTCCATATACGTATAATTGATTCTGAGGCCATGTGAGCTGTTTGGTATGTGTTTTCTGGGCGGGTGGGCGCTTGCTTAATTGCCCTTGCCGGTTCCTTAACATAATAATTAAATTACAAAAATTCGGTTAGTGCTTTATCAACATTTGCCTCCGTGGCAACGCGATTTTCTCCGAATAAGCAAATAAGCTCCAGGCACTCAAACTTTCGCCTGATCGATTTACTTGAGTGACACTAACCCATGTCATCAGAAAACTGGTATGAAGATGAGAAGTTCTGCCCAGCGATTTAAGTTGAGCGCCCAAATTGATGGTTTGGCCGGAGTTTATTGTTGAACAAAATCCGATTATATCTTGCTGTGTTTATGCGAAGAACCTTTTCAGGGAATCATTCTGAACTCTCTTTCACACGAGAGTTGACTGCGAGTTCATGAAATTCATGGCATAAACTGAATCTGTCACACAAAAAACAATGAGAGTGCATGACAAAGTCAATTGTTTGCCTTAACGTGACTTACATGACATGTCGTCTTTGAAGGGATAAGCAGTAAATTTCTTATTAAAAACGGAATTTATCGAAAAATGCTTTTATTTTGGGGTTTAAAAAAAAAGCCCAATAAAAAATGTTAAAGTATTTTTCAGTAGCTTGATAAATTTAATGCTGTCCCACGATAATAAATAAAAAACCAACAATGATTGTTTTAAAAATCCTTAATAAAATTTAATTTTATATAACTCTTAAATAATTTTCAGAAGTACTAATAATTTTGAAACTGGCTCCAACTAGTTTTATTAGCCTCTAAGAACGAACTCAATGGCCTGGTCCTAACAATAAGAAGCCTCATTCAATTGTACTTGGACTCTTTTAGTTCAAAAGTAAAATGAAACTTAAAAAAAAGAGCATGGCAATGCAAAATAAAAGGTGAAGCTCGATTTTCTTTTGAAGGGGAACACCAACGCTTTTGTTCGAAGCTGCGTTTGCGATTTAAATTCAATGCTCTGCAACAGCTTTATAAAAAACTTTTTCTTGGAACTTGCTTTCACTTTCTTAGCCATTTATGTATGTATTATTTCCTTTTTAACAAACCCTCCTCGAGGATTTCCAAATAAATGTCGTCTCTGTTACTTTGCGGCTTCAGTTGAATTTAATAAAAGTCGAAGTGCTTGTCGTCAGATTTGGTGGCCTGGCAAAGATCGTCTCATTTGCATAGTTAAGCATGCCAAACGCACTGGCGAAGCGTCTGGCATGTGGCCGCGATTTGAGTTTCACGTTAATTCTCCACTTGCCTTTTAGCCCCTTCGTTTCCTTTTGGCTCTCTGTGGGTGTTTGGGTGTGTGGGACTCCCTTGAGCTGTAATTTGAATTTCAAGTACGGAGCCAATGCCACGAGCATCAGCACAGTGGTCCCCGCAACTCCCAGGACCTTTGGCACTCCATCCTGACCGCCCTGTAGTAACCCCTCACTACCAAAGTCAAAAGCTCTTTGTTTCTATGCTGCTGTGTATTAGAGTGTGTGCCAGATGGGGTGGACCTTGGTTCTTTGTGCAAAAATTAACTGGATTCTTAATCCTCTTCAACGTTGGCAAGCAAACAAGTCAAAATAGTATCTTATATTAGGTTAAAATAAATGATAAATATGAGAAAACTAAACAAATTTATTAGTTCTTGACATCTTCATTTATCATATTATTTTATTAAGTTTTTGCAGAATTTTGACCTCGAAATTTAAAAGCCACACCTAAATTAAATAAGACAAATATTATTTGTTTACGTATTCTTTAGAGTATTACTCATACGCACTGTGGTCGCTGCCCTTTACGTTAAAATTGTTGTGAACAATTTATAATAAAAATAACTACACCCAAAAAACCAATTTACTTAAAATATGTTCAATACAACCCAAAATTCGAAAGACCTAAAAAATGAGCTCAGGCCATATATGTCATTTTTTGGTGTATATACTTATTTTATAATGTATATATATATAACTTATTTTTAAGATGTAAATTGAAAACCTTCGCACCATTAAGGCCAAGAAAGAAAAAACTTAGATGAGAACTAAGTTCGTGCTTAGGGGTCTCCATAGGTTGTGCTAATCAAGGGGGCCACCCTATCTTCTGGCTGTCTGTGTGCAAGAGCGTGAGTGCTTACAATGCACTATGGGGTTTTTGACCACTTTATGTGGCATTTAGTCATTTTTTAAAAGTGCTCTAATTAAAAAAAAAAAAATGGGAATGCATTAACAGAACATCAAACTGTTATGCCTCATACTCAAAATGTTAATACTTAACAGCATATGTTAGCATAACAGCTGTAAAGTCAGCTGTTGCATGCGAAAGTACCAGCGCTAAGTTTGCATTTTTTCAAGGCGTTCTTTGAAATTAATTTATTCGTGTAAAACACCATTTGAAAAGAAAAAACAAATGTAAACTGATCTCACAGGCTTGTACTATATGTTAAATGTATTAATTTTTTAATTATGGTGTTTATACTAATATTTTGTACTTTATAAATGCCTTAAGCTGATTTTGAGGAACAAATTTACTTTGGGAAGAGTTTTAAAATAGAAGTTTGCATTAGTTTTCAATGCGTCCAAGTGTATGTTGTAGCCTTGTCAATTCTGAGCAAAAATATGTTAGTCTTATTGTGCTTTTCCGCACTATTGGTGAATTTGAATTTTTCTTAGATAACCTCACTTTTCCAACGCCGACTTGGTTGCTGTTTGGAATAGCGGAAGAGCCGGCTGAGCAGAAAGGCTATACAATGTTTGATGAACAAATTATTTATAATATGAGGATCATTTTTAAATGTTTGTCCGTCAGTTGCCGTTAATTTGGACAATTCGAATCATTTTGCGACAACTGGCGATTGTTAGTCGATATGTATCCGTGGCTGCCGATGAGTTTTGAGTTTGACGAATTTTTTTTTTGTTTTGTTGCCTTATTATCATCATCTTTTATAGGCATGGACCAACAATTTCAGCTCTTTAAATTTATTAATTTTATTTTAGTTTTAACCGATCGTTCTTGGGGCTTGGGATATTGTTTCCTGATCCAAACGTTTTCACACTATATGTGCCTAGGGACAAATAATGCGATTGGTAAGTTTCTGTCGCATCTCCAAAACTGCGAGTTTTAATTAATGAAAAGGTAAACCCCTCAATGTAGCGGGCGAACGGAAGTGTAAATTGCACACTTGAAACCTGCCAACCTTCACCTAACCCCCCACCACTACTATTACCCCCACCCACCCCCTCATCATAAGACTCCCGCTGTGCGTGTCTGTGCTTGTCGGTGTGCGGCGTTTTTGTATTTTTAATGCGCCCAAGTCGCATTTACAGTCAGCTGGGATTGATTTGAGTCGAGTTGGTTGGCCCGAAACAGTATGCTACACGAGCATATGTTGGGGATAAACTCGTTGGTTCCATTTCGTTTTGTGGATCGGGGATTTTTTTGGGGTGCGGAGGTGGGTGTTGGCATGGGCGTATTTCACAAATCAAGTAAATGGCCCGCGCCTTTTTTCTGTTTTTTTTTTGTAGCCTTGCGTCAATTGCAATAAATAAATGAAAGCCTCAGCGAGGGGCCATAAAAACTGGCTGCGATATCGTAAAAAATTGAGCGTTATTAAAATTTAATTAATCTGTCAGCATGCAACAATTATGATTAGAGTGCAAACACAGAAGCACATGGTCACACGCGGCTTTCCTTGAGTCCTTGACAGCTCAGGGACACCTCTATCTCTATTTCTATCTCTGTCCCTCTGTCTCGCTGACTTTCTCTGGCTTTCGTTGTGTGAGTGCGCACATGTATTTGATTTGATTAGGCTTTCGGCTAATCAGCCGCAACCACACGCACATACAGTCAAAGTTAATTAAATTATGACTAAAGCTTTTGTCAAGTTGTCGCTGGTTGTTTTTGTTATTCACACAGGCAAACACACACAAGAAAAAAACCGCAAAAAAAAAACACAGACTCACACAAAACTGTTATCATTGCAGCTGCTGTGACGCACTTACACGAAAGCCAATTGTTGCATTTCAATGCCATTCTGTTATTGCCTTCAATGGATCACAAATACAATCAGTAGCGGATTCAGGGCTTGAGAAGTCTATTTTGTAGCATACATTTCAGGAAAATTTTTTTTTAATCGAACCGCCTTAAAAATACACTGCAACTGCAGCCGCACTTACTTGGCACGCAGGGCAAGTTGCCTATCGCTCGGACAGACGAACTTATTGGCCGTATTGTTGCGATTCTGGAAGTCCATCTTGTCCTGTCCTGTCACATTATATTTGCATTGGCAAGTTAGCTCCTTGAAACTCCAGTGCGCTCCGCATTGCCGCTGGGCTCTGTTATTGTTATTCTACGGGGCCAACTGTTGTTGACGGCACGCAGCGGAGCGGTAGCGGTACGAAACGAGGCGGATCCGTTTGGATCCAAAGGAAAACAAACAAAAGACACGTCCGAGTGCGTGAGCAGCTGGTGTGCGACTGACGCAGCGCGGTTGAAAGGCGAACGGCCGAACAGCCAGAACTTGCCGTTATCGCAGCCGCCAGTGATGGGAGTATCGAAAAAATAAGGTTTTGCCTGCCTAATGATGGGAAATCTATCTCCAATTGGCAGGATAACCGAATATTCATTTGCATTGCCTACTTTTGAGGGTCTGTATAAACTTTGGCCTTTGAATGGTATCCTGCTTATACATCTTTTGATTGCCGACTTTTGGGCTAATGTAAAACTTTTAGTCTTAAATCTATATCAGCCCAAATTCAAAGAGTTTTGCTTATCGATAAAAAATTCAAATCCTTTCAAATAAATAAAAACACTTTCTTAAAATTACATACATTTCTTCCAAGTACTATCAAAATTCGAATAAAATTCTAAATAAATTGTATTGATAATAATGTTAATGTTTAAAAAGGATACAAAATGGCTTGAGTGGCATACAATATATTATTAATGTGAACATTTTTATATAACACAATATTGTTTCTTGGAGCCTTATTTAGTGAAGCTTGTCGAGTTGATCGATAGATTGATAGGATCATCCCTAGAAACTATCGTCCCGGCTGCCCCATAGCCCCCCTCGACTGGTGCACAATGGAGTCGGCTTTCGGCCATATGGCCACGCGCAGGAAGATACCAAAGTGCCGGGTACCGGGACGCACGGGATGGATGGGTTATACTTCTACTGGAGCTTTGTCGTATTTGCACGCGCACAGGCCAAAAGCAAAGCTCGCGGCCCAAGTCTTCAATAGCATACAATTGTCAGTGTTGCCAATTGTATCTTTTCTCTGAATACATAAAAAAAAACAAAAAACGGATCACTTTCGTGAAGAAATCATTTTATTTTTAATTTTTCTTAATATTTTACCATTGTGTTTAGAACTACAAAGTATAATTATAGGCATGTATACTATTTTTCCAAAGTACTGTCTTTTTTATGTCAGTGCAATATAATTTATTACAATAGCCTTTTTTCTTATTTACGATATAAAAAAATTAATATTATTCTTATGATACCAAAATTTAAATTTTGTTCCTAAAATGCAAGTTTTGAAAAAGTTGAAAGTATGTATTTTTAAAATGCTGGTTTTCATTAACTGTACGATTTGTGAAAATATTAAGTTTAAATTATAATGTGTTAAAAACTTAGGAATTGAAACATCATCATCAGTAATATTGCATTTAGGTCCAAACTTAATTTGCTTTGTATTACCTCCATTTTAATAGATTTCCCATTTCTGTTTAGCAATTTAATAGCTTAAGAAATGACAATAAAAAGCCAAGTTGTTTGGCCTGGATAAAGGCTCGGTCTCCCTTTTTCTCGCTCGCTCTCTCAGGCTTTGTCCTGCCTGGTTTTCTCTCCCGCTTTCTCACAGCAAAATTGTATTGCATATTTTCCCGGTGGAGAAAAAAAATCCCAACTCTTCGAAATCCCAAATCTGCGACAAGAACGCGGGGTTTCCTCCCAAAAGCTGTAGAATTGTATGCAGCTAAGCATTCTAGCTTTCCACCTGCAAAATCGGAATGTCATCCCTACCAGAGAAAGAACTCTACATAGATTCTGTTATTCTGTTTGCCCCCAGGCTCAAGGTCCTTCCCGTGAAGGATGTTGAGGGAGGGGGGTGTGAAGAAATAGAGGAAAGGTGAAAGTTTTACGACCAAAACGGAGGCTTTGCTCCTCGTATCAACTAATGTCAAAGGCGACAGGCGATTGCCGTGCCACTCACGTACATGTCCTGTGACTCCTTCAGTGTGTGTGTGTGTCTGTCTATCTGTGTCTTTTGAATGCATGTGGTTGAAAGGCCACACCCCTACGCACTGTTTCGTGCAGCCAAGTGGAATTTAGATGCGACTTGCCGGGCAGCCTGGTCTTCAGGCCCCGCAGCCGGGTGCTCACTGTACGACAGTATTACCCTTTTCTCTTACCGTGTGTCCATTTTAAATAAATGCTGACAGCTAAATGAAAATATTTAACGTACGTGCAAAGTCCTGGACGACTAACATTTCGCACGTCTCGTCTTTTTCGTCCTGTCTGTCCGTTTGTCTGTCCGTCCAAGAGTGTGTTGTGTTGTGTAGTGTTGACATTGTGTGACGGCTTTCGCTGTTTGCCGCTGGCAGTTGTCATCGCTGTTTGCCTTCCTGCCAGTTGTTTTTGTTGTTTTTGTTAGCTGTAACTGTTGACAGGATTAGGCATTCAAAGCGCGTACGCATCATCACCAGTCCACCACCCATCTGGGCCCCCTCCCTCCCCCCTCCCCTTCCTGGCCCCTAAAAATGCCAGCGGCGGCAATTGTCCTTCGAGCCGGATATTAAGAGGAGAGGGGAGAATGAATAAGTTCGTGGCCACGGGCAAGCAGCTATTTGCCTTAATGAGTGTCAGCTTGATTTCGAGCTGTTAGCCAACTGTTGATAACGGATTTTCTGGGAATATGCGTCCCCGAGCAATCAACGGATTTGGCTGCTTAACCAACGACGGTCCCCCTTCTAAGCATTTAACTAGTATTATCATCATTTTTCAGCCTTTAGTGCCACTGCTGTTAACTGGTGTTATCAGTGATGTTTCTCTTTATTCTTCAGCATTTTCACTTATTCTTTAAAACAAAATTTCCATTGTATTTAGCCAAAAAATGTATATAGTCGGATACTCTTTTTTTAAAAACATAAATCGGGTCACTATAAGTTATAGTTAAAATAAGATCAAAGTGGGTTAGGTTACATTATATATGGATACATTATATAAGCCCTTTTTAACATGGCGAATTTGTTTTACGGCCTCCGCATTTTGGAAATTTAGTGAAACCGAAATTTTTAAAAACTCGATGCACAATTGTTAATATTCAACCATTTTGAAACGGCATTTTTATTGATTGGACCAGAACAAGTTTTTGATGTCATTATTTTATTTATATTTATACTACTACTCTCTCAACGCGTGATAAATCCCAAGATTTCTAGGCTTTCGTTTGGACCTCTGGCATTGGCGAAATCTTTTTTTAATCTTCAGCTTCCGAGTTTCTTAGATTTTTTCGCGCGATCGGAATGGCACTAGATCTGAACTATCTCGAAATTGTTAAGCGGCTCGAGAAGCAAATCCAGGAAATCCACGATTTGCCAAATATGCTTCTTGAGACGCTTAACTCTTTCGAAATAGTTCAAATCAACTGCCATACCACTCCATAAAAAGACAGGCTCTCCTAAAAGCCTTGGCTTGCATCCACATTAGCTTCTGTGAAGGAATTATCCTAGTATTTCGTTGATTGAAAACCAAAACCAGGTGCGTCGGAGATAAAGCTTTTGGTTGATTCTAAGACAATGAGCCATGTCAGAATATTCAAACTTAAGTTTACCAAGAGAACTTACCATTTAGTATTTTTGCTTGGGATATGTGCTTCTGAGTGCTCTTAAGAGCCGTCTACTGATCGGTTTGGATTATACTCTCACCGCTGGTCGGGGAAGTATACTCGTATCCTTTCTGAACTCCGCCTGTTCTTCACAGTACATATCACTTGTCCTTAGTCAGTTTGTGATGGTGGACGTTTTTTATTTTAGGGCGAACCGAAATTTTGATTTCTTAGCAAACAAACTCTAACCACTTTCAAAAAAAAACAAAAAATATGAAAAAAAGGGAAAAAATTGATACAATTACATTTTTTTGGTCTTACCTGGAGGTGTGGTCGGTAGCGCAGTCCGAATACGAATGACCCTCCGTTCAGCATATGTTGAAAATGTTGACTTTTTGGCCACTGACATTTAATTTCAAGGCACACTCTTTTAAGAAAAAAATCATTTAAGTTTAGCTGTCGCACCGAATCGATTGTCTAGTTCAAGTGTTGAGCAATTGGGAATTGAAAAGTTAAGGGGTTGCGACATAGATCAAAGTGATGTCGTTTAAACTTCTTATGCATATGAAAGCTGCACACGGGTAAATTAACAACTAAAAGTCAAATGCTGATTAGAACACAATCGCATTTTATATGTAGTTTCAACATGCAAAGAAATAAAAACTTAAATCAAATATAAACAAATGCAACATAAGATTGGAATTTTAAAATACCGACACATAGTTTCAGTCCTTTAGAATAAATAGCTTCATAGCTGTATAGATTTATATAATTAACTAGTAGAACAAAAATTGTTCCACTTCAGACTGCACATAACCAGCCAGCACCATTACGCCGAAAGAAGATTAAAAACAAGGTTTTTTTTACCACCCTAATGTATATCCCATATTTTCGATTTGATTGCCTTAAGTATGAAAATGCCATTGATTTGTATATCCATATTTAATTTATTAATTTGCACTTAGTTATTTCATTTTTTCTCCCACATTACATTTAGTTTAATGTTCTCTGATTATTGGGTTTAACCGGGGAATCGTAAGAACAGCTTACTTATCCTCGTGATAATCAAGACTTCCCAGTTAGACCACTTCAGTTCCTTTTAAACTGATACGTACACACCTACATTTGTGGGCTTCTATTTGTGTATCCATATATCGTTTATTTTTCAGCATTAAATATTTTATTATTTAGCCAGGCTTGCGTTTGGAGTAGAAATTTCTATTCAGCCGGGACAGCCAACTTGACCCACATTTCCCATTTATATTGATGCATACATTCGGCTTTAAATTGTATATCCATAGTTTGTTTATTTTTCAGCATTTTTTTTTTTTAAATCTTGTTTCATACTTGGTTTTTGCTCCTGGCGACATTTTATTTTGGGTTCTCTGTTTGCTCTGGCTTGTTTGTCTTTTGCACAACTTTTGCACAATTTGCTTTTCATTAGGTGCGACTAGCTGCGTCCCTCTCACTTTCGTTACGGCAAAACGATAGCCCCACACGGAAATTGCCTAGGTTTCTATCTTGTACATTACTAAAATATATATTCTGCTCTGGCTATTGTTGTGGCTGCTGCTACTCGCTTTACTTTTTTTCCTAATCTAGTCTACAAGGTAAATTCCTCTGGCTGTCGGGCCGTCTGTTTCTCTCGCGGTCACACTCACATACAATATAATTTGACTAAGAGCGAAAGCCGCAATAAACAAAATAATTTAAACGAATTAAATGGGGCAGGGATGGGGAGGAGGTTGGAAAATCGATCAGCAGAAGAGCAAATTTCTACCGATCCGATCCTCTAGTCCCGTAAAGCTTTCTGCTTGCCCAGCTTCTTCTGGTTTGGCACCGCCAGTCGAGTGGGCGTGGTCGCAGGTCCGCTCGCCGACTTTTTGTGGAGCCGCTTGTGGTAGCTCTGGGCCAGGGAGTTCACGATGGACACCACGAAATAGCACACCATCCCGATCACGAACGTCTCGAAGATCCTGGACAACAGGTTGCCCGAATCTCCCGCTCCGGATCCCGCGCCGGCCGCGCCCCGCTGCTGGCGATGCAGTCGCTGCTTCTGGTTATTCAGAAAGGACTTAAACGGCTCCTGCAATTTGTGGCCGAGCAGCGGCAGCGAGGCCAACAGGTCGACGGCCCGCTCGATCAACGTCTCGTTGAAAGCGATGATCACGAAGATCTTCTGGATGTGCATCTTGATCACGGCCTTGCCAATTAGCGTGGCCCCGAAGAACGTCCAGAATGGCACCAGGAAGTGGCCGCAGGTTATTCCTGCCAGATCGAACAACGGATTGGGAATCTGCAAAGAGATTAATAAGTTGTTATTATCGTTTATATTGTTGATTTACATTATTCTAGAAGTGATCTGTGTTTTATCCATGCATACATTTAAATATCAAATAAAACCCCAAATCACTTCAATAACAATTATTTCTGAACTACAATCAAAAAGCAATTCTATGAAGATTTCTTTAACATGGCAAAATAAAAAATATTTTTGCATTTTTAAATGAATCACAAGTGATGAAAATAGAAGAAATGTCAAATAACTTTAGACCGGTATTTAAACCATAGAAGCAACAACAATAAACCAGTTAACTTTAACATTAAACAAATTAAATGACAGATTAGATACCAAAACAGACTTTTTTATGAGCACCTTAGTAAGTTATATAATATCTTATGATAAATTACTTTATAACCATAATTTGTTCACCAAAATGGTACAACGTAAGTTTAAATAAGAAGATTAGTATACATTTCTCTTCTTGCACATAATAATATTCTGCTTGTCTAGCGAAATGTACTCTTGTTTTAATCAACAAATGATGGAAATAGATATATCGGTTTAAGTATCACAACTCCGTGTTCTAGTTAAATATTAACTATACATCTATGTTCTAGAAACCACGCTCCGTATACTAGTTAAATCTTAAATATACATCTAAAAACCACGCTGGACAGCGATTTTCACCACTCACGCTTGCACAGGCCAGGATGCCGAAGAATCCGACGCGCTCCACCACGCGCTCCATGAACAGTTTGCCTTTGTCCATTAGACTGAGGTTCTTTTGGTGACGCTTCGCGTTGAGGGCCTCGAACTCGGCCAGCTCCTCGGCATCCTCGGGATCGTAGCCGGAAAGCCTCGCCGCCTTGGCCATGAAGTAGGGCGGCAGCTCGCCCAGCGCTGTGCCCGCGCCCCAGAGGAAGGCCTCCAATCGAACCTTGGACATGATGGACCAGATATTTGGCACCTTCTTGTCGTACGGCTCCTCCGGACAGATAATGCTGTGGGATCAAGAAAAACGAATGAGTCATTTGGAATTTTGTAAAAATATCGGTTAATTTCAGCCTCATAAAAATTAATCTAACAAAAATTGAATTCAGTTATTTTCAAATTCTGCTAGTCTTTTTTATAACTTAAAATACTTATGAAAAACTTCTTTTTAGTCTTTTAATGTTCTTCGAGAACTAGGTGTATGGAAATACTCACTCATCGGGATATGGGGGCTGTGGGAACCGGAGCGAGTTGCACTCGTATGCGGCCAGCGTTACGCTGGCTATGTGCGGCCCCAGGTAAAGCAGGAACGTGTGCAGGCCAGTGCCCAATCCCACCGAGGATAACACGCCCAGCCCGAGCCAGTAGACGAAGAACCAGGTGTTCCGACGCACAAACTCGATGGCCAGCTGGTGGGGGCCGTCTATTTTGTAAATTACGCTAAATACGATGCCTAATACTATGAGGGCGGCCAGCAGGAGTCGCTGCTGCAGCAGTCTGTAAGTGAATCGTGGATCAGTAATGGCCGTTTGTTGGGGGAGTCCTGGCCATGGCCATGGCCAGCCAACTCACCTGGTGCTCCACGTGCGGACCAGTGCTGCCAGCTCGAGGCCACAGTACTTGGTGGTCTGCAGTGGACGTCGCCAGAGGACCAGCTGGCTGCGTTCCACGCGCTCCCGTTCGCGCTGTTTGTCTTTTTGGTTCTTCTCCTTGCGGCTCAGCAAGGATGCCGCGGAGCTGGTGTCCTGCATGCTGCTCCCGCTGAGGATGCTCCTGCCGCTGCTGCTGCTGGGTGACTTGGAGGGGGCTGTGGCTTGACTGTGGGATTGGGAGTGGGACTGGAGCTGGGTGTGACTGTGGCTATTCCCCTTTAGATTGCCGTTGGCCGCCTGCCGCTTGTGGCTCTTGTTGTTGCTGCTGCCGGTGGTGCTGCTGTTGGTGCTTCCACTGCTGTGGCGATTGCTCTGGGTCGCATGGCTATTGCTCTCCTTTTTCGAGTGTTGTGACATTTAAGCGGTTGGCTTGCAAGCGGCTGTGTGTTCGGAAACAGAAAATAAAAAAACAAATGGAATATACCCAATGGTGTTAGTCGAATCGGTTCGAATCCGGGTGTCCGGGAATTTATGAAATTTCAAATTTAGACCGTTCGGCGGCACGCAAAAAGTGATAAAACGAAAAATCTACCGCGTCTAGTTTGCTGATAAACTGATAAGCTTCAACTGGCGCGGGTGCAAAGTGTACAAGCTACTCTAATTTCGAATTGTTCCGACGTGCTTGCCCTGATTTCGGCTTGTTTGCGTTATGCCCTGGCAAGGGGTACTATTACTATCATATTGCTTAGGAAATTCCTGGTAGAGATAAGAAGTCATTTATCTCCTCAACAAAACAAATTATAATTTCTAATCCAAGGGTTAAACAGATTATTTTGTAAGTACAAAATCGGTGGAGTTTGTCAGACACACTTTTGTTTATATTATTTTGTTATTTGTCACTTGTTTAATACTGCTTTAGACAGTAAAAACGTATGTATGTACATAGGTAAGGTAACAAAAGAACCGATAAGCCCAAATGAAAAACCTTTGTTTCAAAACCATACGAAAGGCAATACGGATTCTAAGAGCTGGGTTGAAAATAATAGTAAAACTAGGAACTTATTAGTTGCAATGTGAAAGCTCAAATTAAATAAACATTCAAATCTAAATATCAATTTAATATTTTTATTAATATTTGTAGCAGATACCATTTTTTTGTTAGGCGTAAAAAAATGAATTTTATATTTTATGTACGTCCAAATAATTAATGATTCACATTCTTACAACTAATGTCTCACAAAGCGATGATAAAAATATATTAGTATAGTAAAATTCCAAAACACTGAATAATGTTATAGTCAGGGATTTTTTTTTAAAAAGTTCGGTCAAATTTAAATAATTTAATTTTTTTACTCAATGTATTGTACGATATCAGAAGAACTTTTATCACATATATAAACCTTAGCTTTAATGGGCTTACATTTTTTAAAAAAATAAATGCCTGCTGTTGAATACGTGATAGTTTTTATACAAATTTCACCCATTTTTTTTTAATCTGTAAACTAAAAACTAATGTTGAGAGGTATACAAATTTCGGCTTGTTGCATTTAACTTTCCAGTTTGGTCTTTAATTTTGTTCTCACATTATGCGGGTCGGTTGATAGTTTTCTAAATTAAATTTGATTTCCTGGGAAAATTCTTAATTTTTCGAAAATATGTGATTTCGTGTGTGTGTTTTTGTGAGGCGGAAAAGCACAACAACAAAAACAAAAGCAGGGCGACAAAGCGATTACAAGAACAATTACGAGGGACGTATAGCGTGAGATTATCATGCGATACTCGAGCACCAATAAAACGAATCCACATGCGCGTAAAAACGAGACGAAGAAGAAGCAGAACAAACGAACAAGAAGCGCAAAACAGAAGCAAAAAACAGAAAGCAAACAGGGCGAAAGACAACAAAAACAAGCTGACGGCTGTTTTTTTTTCGTTTACTTTATATATTTTTTGTAGTCTAGTCAGCATGTTTTGCCATAATTTAATAAGCGCAGTTTTCCCTTTTATTGTTTAAATGAAACTTTTAATGTGGCAATCGTTGCAGCTGTTTTTCCGCCGGAGTTCAAAAAACCCGGGGGGTGGTGGGTGGTTTTTCGTAAATCCACCCCCTAACAACAACAAACGTAGACACAAAGCACAAAATCAATTGCAACCACAAAATCAAGGAAACCTTTTTTACTTTGTCACTAATTTTTATCGTCACGAGTTACAGCAACAACAACAACAACACTGGCACAGCAATAACAAACAAATCGCCGTAGTTACGCTTTTTTTCTTGTTTTTTTGCACCTCATTTGTGCTGTTTTGTAACTAGTCCGCTTTTATCCGGCTTTTATGCAGATGCCCAGGTGTATTTACCTGTTTCCACGACTGTCTGCGTTTGGCTCGGCCTGCTGCACTTTGGCACGATGTTTCACATGAAAACAGCGATTTGTTAATAATTTTAACTTTTCTGTGATACCAGCTTTTAAAAAAATCCAGCCTATCGCCTTGAATAGTTTCTTCGATGATTTTCAATGTTACCTATCGATATTTATAGTTAACTATCGCTTACAAATTTTCAACACTAGCCAGGCGGGCAATTGTTCCAGTGCAACCCATAAAACTGGTGATTGGGCGGCAATTTTAAACAGAGAACAAATTAAACATTTTCGCGATTAGATTAGCAACCATTTAACAAAAGGAGAGGCGTACAAAATTGTATTACTCACCGACCATACGAGTTCTATTGTTACTATGGTGCAATTATTTCACGTTAATTAAAGTTTTTTTCTGCATCTACATCACGTCTATGCATTAATTATAATAAAATATTTGCTATGATGACAATTTGAATAGCTTAGTCCAAAAAAATAGTTTTGCATTCACTGGTTCTTGTGATTACCGTTACACCAAGCAATATAACAATTGTATTTTTAACTTAAAAAGAATAGATTGTTGGCAAAATTATTTTTTGTCTCTTTTCTTTTAATATGAAAAATCACCAAGCATGAAACCCATTTTGTTTTTTAGAGATAAGGTTTCATTGTCCGTTTAACAACAGAAAAATGATTCAGAAATACAATTTTTGCAGACATTAATCCCTCGATCTGGTTAATATTAATTATAGTATCAAATACACCTTTGTCTGAAAATGATTCCTTACCAATGCCAATGCATGAAAAACCGCAAAGCCACCCTCATAAACACTCGACATGTGTAGTTTTGTGGTTTTTGTTTATTTAATAATAGATTAATTACCGTACACTTAACCGAGAGAGTCCTATTCGTAACCATACACACTAAATATGCACAAAATTTTGTTGTGTTGTAAAAAAAAAGGTGAAATCATTGAAATAAGCGAACAAAAGTTAAGTACTTGTAGTGCAATCGCACGGATCAAGTACAGCAATGGAAATCAGATGGACCGAAGAAGAGTGTGAATAGATCTGTTTTCGGGGTGTTAATGGTAGGACAAAGCAGAGTTTAATTGAAATACTAACGCGTTTAGAAAATGTATATATATAAAATAATGTTCACATAACAATTCTTTTTGTAGTTTTCTGTTTTGTGGATTTTTTTGTCGCCCTGGTTCAGATCATCTTCAAGTTCTTTTCGTGTGGCATTTCCTGCGGTTTTCCTCAATTCGTTTAGCTAACTCGCGTTCATATTTTAAGCATGCAGCTAAACACAAAATATATTTTATTTATATATAGATTTCTGTATAGGGGGTTGTTTTCCGATGCAAACCGGAGCAGAGTTAGTTGACCCTGGCCATGCCATAGACATTCTCATCGGAGTAGGCAATGTACAGGAAGTAGTCCTCCTCGTGGTGTTCCTTTGAGGGCAAGAAGGTGTTAGATATTGTGGGTGAAAAACGAGGTAGAGTAGTTACCTGGTACAGGGAGCCCATGGTTGCCGATGTTGGTGGAATGACGTTGTTCACGAAGAAGAAGAGGGCATCTTCAGGACGCAGGTGGATGCGCTTACGAATGAGGAAGTAGAACTGACCGACGGTCAGGTCGGAAGGCACCAGGTACTTCTTCTTGTCCAGGTCACCGATGCGTGCTTTAGGAGCCTTCTCGACAATCACCTAGTAATATACAATGGGAGAAAACAGGAGGTGAGTTCAAGTTGTTCGACTTACTTATGTGCGCACCTGATTACGTGCCGAAAATGTTCACCTATTTGGCATTAAATGACATTTGCATTTTCCAAAGTAAGACACATTGGCATGTGTGCTCGAATACGTGCTACCTTGGAATACGATAATGCCAAAAACCTGTTCAAACAGGCTATATTAAAACAATTTAGGATTTTCCATCACTTCTTGACAAAAAATATCACTTAAATCAAGATTCAGAGAATGAGTGTAATATTTATATATACATTAAGGTTTCTTAGGCAACTCAACTAACAAAAATAAAATGAAATCCTTAAGTTAATATCAATTATTAAAATCGTTTAAGTAATTACATATATTTTTTGAAACGATTCTATTAATACTGACATCACAAACTGCTTCAGTCTAAAGACAAAAAACTTTTGGTGCATTGTTTGGGGGACTAAAATGAGTAATTTCGTAATTGAAATGAGTAATTTCGTGTTGCATTTAAAAATTTCGCCATTATGAACATGTAATTACCTATACGTGCATTTAGTGCTTTTTGTCCGTCCGATTTTAGTTACTAGTGCAGTTCTTAAAACTATAATCATAAAACAATAATAAAACTAAGAATTCCTAGCACCCTCAGTTTGCATAATCAACAGAACTAAAGCGCTTTACCACTTTTTGACTACTTGGTTCCAGTATTTTGAATTGAGATGAGTAAAATATCTTATATGCTGCATTCCATTTAGATTTAAACAATCGTTAGCTCACTGGCCTAGACGATCCGTTCTAGCCAAGGGGGTTTTAAGTTAGCCTTTGGCCAAATTATCGATAAACAGGTTTGGAACAGGAAGCGTGGGTCAACATAATGAATACTAAATCAGCAAACTGCTATTCTTTATTTGCTATATCCCCTATCTATCCCACATCCCCTCGAATTTTGTTAGCGTCATTGGCCGAAATCAAGGTATTAGTATGATATGGTACGTACTAAATAGAATTCGGATATATCTATATGGCGCGACCAGCTGGCCTTGCCCCTCGCTCAGCTGTTATGTGATTTGGCGATTGGCACTTGTGCATTTGCCAAAAACAACCGAAAATAATAATGTGTATACAGTCGGAGACATCGAAATGGAAATTTAAAAAATCAAGAGCGAATGCAAAGTACTTTTCTCGCTGCGATTGGGGCACCTTCAAGTTGCGTGGAAAGGAGTTTGCTGATAAGGTGGTGAAATGGCAGAAAAACAACAAAGGAGGAACCCACTTGTTTTTTTTTTCGTTTTGTTTTTGTTTTCAGCGCATCTATGACTAATTCCAGTCGCTATTTATATGTGTTTGTGAAAACAAAACAAGCAGCTTAATGTGTATTAGTGAGTAACTTTTTTATGCGCAGTACTAGCTTGTTTTTGCAAGCAAACAAACGAAATTAAAATCGAAAACAACTGGTTAGTACATAGAAGAAAAAAGGATGGCTTAATGCAAAATCTTTATTCAAAACTTTTTTTTTTTTTATTTTTTAAAATTTACTACTCTACCCGTAACTAGTGTGGTTTTATTCGGCTGCCCCTGTGATTGCAAGGAAAACGTCATGCAAATTAAAGTGGTACGACGCGCACTTTTTCTTTGAATTTCGTTATTCTAAGAAATCTTTATTTTTTGCGATCAAGATATTGATATTAAATAATATCATATACTCTTTTTTCATGTGTAGAAGTGTGGAGGAGAGAGGGAAAAGAGCGAGAAGAACAGATGAAATCTAGAAGTGAAAAACAACAACACTTAACAGCTGAGCAAGTGAAACGGCTGCTTTGTTCTCTTTTTTTTTCTTCTGTATATGAGTGTGTGTGTGAGGGGGGGGACAATTCCGTTTGAATTTCATCTGAGTTTTAATTGTAAATGTTTTCCCAGCTGAAATGCATTTTATGCAACCTATTCCCCCACCCACCTGATTTTGCACTTGCAATATTAACAACATTTACCGAAAAATACCCGATATGCGCAGTATTGATTTTCTTTGGCACAAACAAAAAAAAACGACGCAAAACAAACTCATACACAGAAACACGCACATACATACCCGAGTGTACATGCATATATGTACCTAAATATATATATTATTGTACTTACGGGCACACGATCTGGATATTTGCGACGGATTTTATCGCCTTCGGCGCGACGTTTCTCGAAGGCGTGCTCCTCCTTGTATTGGAACTTCATGATTGTTATGAACAGGTAATTGGCTAAGAAACGCAGCTTTTGGTTTTTCACTTTTTTCGCTTTTACAAGGGGAAAATATCGATGTCTATGTATGCGAGTGTGCGTCTTTACTGTGGTTGTGTTTTTTTCGCTCTGCTCGCTGTTTTTCGACCAAACGGGCTGAAATTTTTATCCAGTGTGACTGTTTCTGAACAGCGAAAAGTAGCCCATGGAGGGCAATGAAAGACTACTGCAAAAAATACCGTACCGCATTGTGAAAATACCAAAAATACTGGTTGAATGCAGTCTCAAATTACGCGGGAGGATTTAGATGTGGAAAACATAATTCTGCCAAAAATTTTAATTTATTTTATTCACATATTTTACCTTTACAATAAAAAAAAACACTGTTGAAGGTGTCTCCTTAAATAGCAGCATGGAGGGTTTTTCATTACAACATATTTTTGCACTTAAAAACAAATTTTCCAATTTTAAATTGTTTAATTTAAAAGCCCAAATGTAAGTAATTACATCTCAAAAAATCTTTTATTATTTAAAAAAGAAAAGTCAGCTATTAAAATGAATTTATTTTTTTGATTTATTTAATCAAATTATTCAAAATTTTCCTTTTAGTCGAACATAATATGAAATCATTGATAACGTTTTTGGGAGTAATGGTTAAAAACTTTTTAAAAAGCATTAACCTATAAAAACTAATAAAATGGAGTGCCCAAAAGAAGGTTTTTTATGGCTACCGTTTAGCCTTCACTGCAAATATTAAAAACATTATTAATAGAAAAACCAAACACGGATTGCTTCTTCATGTTTTAAAGATTTTCAAAAGTCCTTACTCTATTTTATAGTTACATATGCCACTAATGCCTCTTAAGGCAGGTAAAAATAAAAAAAAATTGTTTGTTTATTTTGTATATTTAAATATTTTTGTAGATGAGTGTTTACAACATAAGGAATTTTATAAGATAAATACAAGATTTATTTAACACCAGGTCTTTTATAACACCCATTTCAACACAGCATTTTATCTTCACGTACAAAATATAAGAATTCTAAGCCATTATAAAAAATTGGACCAGCCCAAGACCCTTTTACAGAGTTTGGAGGACATACGTTTGCAGTCTCCATCGGTGTCCACACCAATCATCCCGCTCCATGGATGCCAGTTCCACCAGATCGATGTGGGCCTTTTCGAAGTTGGTATCATAGTTATCCAGGCCCAAGTGCATGAGTATCCGTGCCGCGGTTTAGGCACATGGAAACCGGTGGTTTTAGCTGACTGCTTTGGCTACGGTGGTGATGATGTTGATGATGGTGATTCAGCTTCATCGGCGGCTTCTTTTACACCACTGTAGAATTTTCAAAAAATCGAATTATTTATTTTGGAGATTATAGCGGAGATCACCTCATCTAATGACATTCTCATTGTCGGAGGTAGTCAGTGGCATCCCATCTTTCCGTTCATCTTTCCTGCAATTCCTGGAGCTTTTGGCGAAATCTGGGAGACATTATTTTGGGATAGGATACTCTCCAGGAAAGTTCGGAGCTACCTCCATACATAAAAGAAGGCGGAGAACCTTAGTTTTCGGGGAATCCCAAGGGTACTTATTGATCCTGCTGCCTTTTCTGGAGCTCCTAGTACAGCGGTATTATGGTTTCCTGGATGCATACTGGACATTTGCGTAAAGCGAGTTTCTATAGACATTAAGGGTAATTTTAAGAGTTTTAAAGGCTAATAAATGAATATACTTACTTAAATTTCTTGCTAAAATATAGAAATAATTATTGTTTTTAAAATTTTTGTCTGACAGAATTTCGGTATTTTTTATGCATTGGAGCTGCGGTTATACTGCTTACTACCGCGTTGCCAACTACTTTAAACAAATCTAAAATTTAACATTTAAAAAAAACACGTGTAGGGTATTCCTAAGCTGAAGACGACAATTTTAAACATAAGATAAATTTACACAAAATTATTGAATTTTCAAACAGTTGTCTCAAATATTTTTAAATTTATGGAAACTAAAAATAAGTTTCTCAACAAATATTTAAATATTTCATAACGACTTATTCCAGGATATCGTAAAATGGAAATATATAAAAAATCACAGTTTTTAAGAAACCCCTAGTTTTATTAAAACAAATTAATTCACATTTATTCACAAATCTAATTTGTTCTAAAATGTTGAAGTTTTTCGAAAAAACTTAACCACACTTACTAATAACATGCACAAATATTTAAGCTTATTTTAGTATAGTATTTTTTAGTATGTATTGTCGTAGGCCGAAACTATTTAGTATGTTTGGACTACCGCCATTTGGCAACACTGGCGCTGCATTAGCGGCAAAAAAATTAATTTTTTGCCATTTACGTAGGCGTAAAGTTCTGTCGCACAACAATTTCAAAGCTCGCCCAGCTGGGTTTGGTAAGCGTCCTTTTTTTGGGGTTATCCTGATAACTCGCGAATTTAAAACAGCCTGCCAATATTTTTGCACTAATGCCACGGCAATGTGTTTGTTGCTTTTTGAAATTCGCAAAGTGTGTGTGTTTATTTGCGGTTGCGCCTGTGTGCGTGTGATAGGTTGTGTTTTGGTATCCAGAGTGAGTTCATCCAAAGAAAAACAAAACGAAAAGAAAATGTTATATGTTGAAAATATTATATTTGGGTCAAATCTGTATGTGTGTGTGTGTGCGTGTGTATATCACACTCTTTTTCCTTAATTCATTTCCTTCTTACTTTCGTTTTCTTTGCGCTTTGTTGTTGTTTTTCTGGTCCGCATGTTTGTGGTTGCTGTTGTTGCACGCGCTTCTTCTACCGGCGCAACTAATTCGATTTATTTATAAAACGTAGATTTATACACGTTCAAATATTTTGTTCTAAACAACTGCAAGCAAAATAAGTTAATGTGTGTGTGTGTTTGTTTGTGTGACCTTCGTGCAATTTTCCAATTAGAAAAGGGGGAAGAGAGAGAGAGCGATAGCGAGGTCCTGTGATAATGCAATCAGATCGCTTGTGTGCTTGTGCGGGCACTTTCCCAGCTTTAACTCAATTTTCCTAAGCAACAAGCACTTACGGTTTTAAAACAATTACACGGCTACTTTTACAGTTTGAAAGCTTTTAACCAGGCAATTTACTTATGCCTTAATTTTGTTTGTATTCTTTTCAGCAGAGCGGCGGCGGAAAAAGAGAAAACAAACCAAAAGACACGGCAAATCAGTCTAGTCAACAAAGCAGACCAAATGAGCACGCACTTCGAGACTAACGAGCAGCACAAACTAAGCCAAAAATAAAGCTAAAGATAAAAGTGATAGAAGGCAAGAAGAAACAGCAGCACTCACACACTCGCACATACCCACATACACTGAGAAAAATAGCCGGCAGGATGCGGGTAGTGGCCATGGTCAGTGGCGGCAAGGACAGCTGCTATAACATGATGCAGTGCGTCGCCGAGGGCCACGAAATCGTCGCCCTGGCCAATCTGCATCCCAAGGACAGAGGTGAGTCCCCAAAAATCATTAGAAAGAAAAAATTGCAGCTTATGAAAGGAAGTCAACTTGGCGGGCCAATGTTTATATACCCCTTTTATACACTCTAAATTAATTTCCAAGAATTATGCAGCTCTTTAAGCACATACCGCGAAGTTTTTGGACACTTCGGTTTATAGAAGCAAAAATATTAGCCCAAAGGAAACGGAAAGAGACCAATTTAGTTTTGTATAGTCAAATATAACTTATACTACATAACTTATATTATATAGACTTCAAAGTTATTTTGTGACATGATTTCGAATACGATTTTATTTGGACCAATTTTTCTATGCTGGACGTAAAATTGTAAACAAAATTAAAATGCCATTTGTATGGACATACAAACATAATTATATATTGACTTCTTGCCGTTTTAGAAAATCATATTTAAAACCATTTAATATTACAATTTTAACAAGCCCAATCTGGAAGAAATGCCGAAGAGACCTGTTTATGTCTTTTTAATTTTTGAGGTAGGCTGGTTGGACAGTGCTATGATAATGCCATAGATTATTGGCATTATTATTTGCACAATCATTTACCACCGATTCGCCTTGTATCCGCAGCCATATGATTTCTTGCCGCTGTCTCTAAATTAATACTTTCCAGACGAACTGGACAGCTTTATGTACCAGACCGTCGGCCACATGGGCATCGAGATTCTGGCCAGCGCCATGGGATTGCCGCTCTACCGGCGCGAAACCAAGGGCAAGAGCACCCAGACCGGCAAGCAATACGTGCCCACCGATGACGACGAGGTCGAGGATCTATATAGTCTGCTGGAGACATGCAAGGTGATTGATTGCTTGTTTATTGGTGTGTCCCCCAAACTCAGATTAAACTGGATGATAAGGAAACTGAAGAAACTAGGCTGCAAATGTTGTTGATACCCCTTATTTCAAGTTCTCACGACCAACTCCCTAATTAGCCCCAGAAACTTAAGAATCCACAAAGGAAACATGACTTATTTGGGGCATGAAATATTTATTCTAATTCTGTTTATTTTGGTTTAAAATTTGTTTATAAAACGTGACTATTGAAATTGATTTGAATTACTTGTTTATGTATCCTCGCAGTCCTTAGATACATCAGATATGGTTATTTCATATAGCCCTCGTTAGCAATAGTACATTTCCGCTGGTATAGGTTACCTACACAGTAAAAAAAAAGGTTTTCCCGTAATCATTAAATGTACTTATATCATTATTAGTTTTTTTTTGCATTCTATTTTTAACAGCAATTATCGTTTATTTCACCCAAAAGTTTTTGATAACGTTTAATTTAAATTTGAAGATTGGACATGTTATATCATTGAGTAACTAGGTTACTTAGAAACACGATTTGGTTTATGAATAATTCAAAATGTGTATATTAATTACTTGAGTAATTTCATTAACTTGCACTAGTTTAATCAATAGACCTAATTAACCTATTTTCCACTGTGTGAAGTGTTTGTGGGGCCATCAGATCAGGGATTTGGTTATGTATCCGCGATTGTTGTGCCATGTCCTTGGGCTCTTGCTCGTGCCCACTCAACCTCATCCCTCATCAATCAACTGCAGCACAGATTGCAAATGCACCTACAAGCTCCTCCATAATTGGGCGGCACATTCACTTCGCCGGGCGGTAATCTTATCGCAATGCCCATCCAATCGAGACGGGACGAACTGTTGCCGTGCACGTGAACCGCCCGACCGACCGGGTTAAACAATAAAAACACACAAAAAATCACACAAAACCGCAGTGAAAACCGAAACCAAAACCAAAACAATAACAATACGAGTAAGAGTAATCGCACAAATTGTTTATTTACCCCTTGATACTGGAAGAAATCGAGCGGGCCAAGGAGACCTTAATGGTGATTACAGTTTGGAAGGCGCATTAATAACCAGCTATCAGTATCACTGCACTCAAACTGTAATTACATTTTTGCATTCGCTTAGTTGATATGGCTAGCTTGTTTGGCTTTATTATAATATTGCTTTCGTGCCGTTTAAATTACAATTTAATCTGCTTTAAGCCGAAAGAAAACTAATTACTTTTTAAAAGGCCCATTTTTAAGAAGTAATAATTACAACAGTGATGAAATATCTAACAAGTAAGATTCTGCACTAAACGCCATGGCAGATAATGTGTTTCAAATATTGTGAAAACATGTTTTTCTTTTAATGGTGGCTTAAAAACTGAAACCCCCAAGAATATGCTGGTCTTAAAACACGTACGAATTCAATTGATTTTTAATTTCCATATGTACGCCCAAATTTTCGGAGGTAAAATTTAATAACTTGTGTTGTATGTTTTAAAATAAAATATTCTGTATGAAGACGTTCTTCAAGCAAAGATCCTATTTTTCCAGCATGATATAAAGTTGTAGGGCATTGATCGAATTTGATATTTAGTTGAGGTCCAATTTGTCTCAGACTTTCTCTCACAGTTTTTAAAAGTGTACTCACATTGTTTCGAGGTGTATACTAATTTCTACATTTCATTTGACAGCACGAGCTTCAGGTGGATGCGGTGGCCGTGGGCGCAATCCTGTCGGACTATCAACGTGTGCGGGTGGAGAACGTGTGCAGCCGCCTGAACCTGATATCCCTGGCCTACCTTTGGAGGAGAGATCAGACTGAATTGCTGCAGGAGATGATCGACTGCCAGGTGCACGCCATCATCATTAAGGTAACAATAAAATCAACTATCACACTTAGATTCCCAAACAAAAACACTTTCGATGGGTGGCAGCTTTATACGAAACAAATTACAATTATACAAATTAGATGTGAGTGTTACCTGATTATATTACCAAGAGAGGAAATGAAATCGTCCTAGCAGTTTATTGATTGACAATCAGTCACTTACGAACTTTATAAAAATAAACTTACGTGACATAAAGGCTTTTGGGTTTCATAATCGTTTGGAATACCATTATCACGACCTGGTTGCTCAGCTGAGTTGTCATTTGTGCTAATTTTAGCCCATGTAAACAAACGCTTGCGTTGCTCAGTTGCAAGGTATCTATTTCACCTGAATTCCTCTTCACTTGCCATATGCAAAGTTTGTAAATTAAAATAAGTTGCAAATAATGAACTCACTATTTGCCCATTAATTTGAATATTTAACAAGTATTGTACGCAAATTAACAGATTATTAAAAGTATGTTGTATTTGGGTATAAAGAAAATTACTTGGCACATTTTTATTCGCTTATGTGAAAAAATAATTTTTCCAAATACGCAACATTAAGAAAAAATTAATTAACGCATATCGAGGACCACAGATAGATACAAATTCAAATAATTTTTTATGACATTAGTGTAGTGGGATTTTTTCGAAAAGGAAACCTTTTTTGAGCTAGGAACAAACAGAAACCCCAAACATGTGCATTGAACGGATTGCATAACCAAAAACCATTGTAAATTAGCGCTCCATCGAAGGTGTTTTGTGTCGCAATATTCCCCCGCTTAACCATCCATGGCGCCTCCATCTCCCCCGATATCCCGGACACAGGTGGCTGCCCTGGGCCTCGTGCCGGATCGTCACCTGGGCAAATCGCTGCGCGAGATGCAGCCGCACCTGCTGAAGATGCGCGACAAGTACGGACTGAATGTGTGCGGCGAGGGTGGCGAGTACGAGACGTTCACCCTGGACTGCCCGCTCTTCCGGCAGCGGATCGTGGTCGAGGACATCCAGACGATCATCAGCAGCGCCGATCCCATCTGCCCGGTGGGCTACATCAATTTTACCAAGCTAACGCTGCAGCCAAAGGAGGCGGCGGGCGCGGCCAGCAGTGGCGGCGGCGAGGTTGTGTTCGTTAAGCGTTCGCTCGACTATATTAGCGACCTGAACGAATCGACGTACAGTGACCTCAGCGATCCGGACTTCAGCGAAACGGAGCTGGAGCTGATCGAGAAGGAGACACGGCTGCGCGAATCGCTTAGCCAGAGCGAGCTGATCTCGCGCAGCAACTCCTTTGGCCGCCATCTGGCCGCCACCGCCTCCTCGCCGATACCCATTGTCACGAAGAGCGCCAGCGTCGACGAGCCCACAGCGGCGGCGCCTGTGCTGGGCGGAGGACCGGCAACCTGTTCCACCTCAGCCTGTGCGTCCATGCTGCTGACCACCACCGCCGACGGCCTGAGCAGCCTGGCCAGCTCGCAGAGCCAGGGCGGTGGCTATGGGCTCGGCAGCAGCACGGCCGCCGTGTGCGGCTCGCTGTCGCTGGCCATCTCCTCGCTTGGGCTCAGCGCCAATACCTGCTGTCTTCCGGGCGGAGCTGGAGGAGGAGGAGGAGGAATAGGAGTAGGCATGGGAGCACCTTCGGCCACCACACAGCCGCCCAGTCCGCTGAAGTACGAGCGGGAATTCCGTCCACTGGCCAACGAGGCCAGAGCGGCCATCAATGCCAAGGGCTGGATGTGGCTGGCGGGCATACAGGGTATCCAAAGAGTCTCTATAGCATCTCTGTTCTATCTCTTCTTAAGAGCACGGTGGTCATTCCAACTCTAAAAGATAACAAATTTGATTATTTTTCCCTTTCTCTATAACATAACCATCAATTTGTTAAAAATAATTACTTTCTCGAACTGTTATGCATGCATGTTTTAGTGTATATTTACTTAAAATTATTGTCATTTAAATATCTTTGAAACATAGTCGTGTCAAAAAATGTTGTTAGAAGCTAAAAATGCTAAAGATGTTCGAAACCATTTTATGAGCTTGAATTGAAAACAAAGTCTAATAGATATTTATATATACTAAAACACATATGCACAACACAGAGCAAATACTCAATTAAACATTAAATTGGGCTTGTATAAACTAATACTATAAATTCACTAATATTTTAGCCTTCTAACATTGTTTAAAGATAGTATAAAAGTAAGTTTTGCATTAATTAAGTGGCCACCGTGTTTTCCATTTCTTTTTACTGCCAAATGAAAGCTAACCATTTGCTTAATCCTTCAACAGGCTCCGGATCGGAAGACATGGAGCAGAGCATGCAGCAGGCCCTGGACACGCTGCGCGATCTGTGCCAGGCCAAGGGCTACGACCTGCAGGATCTATGCTACGTCACGCTCTACGTACGCTCGATTGGCGAGTATCCTGCGCTGAATCGGATATATCACCGGGCCTTCGACTTCCACAATCCGCCGACGCGCGTCTGCGTCGAGTGTCCGCTGCCCGACGGTTGCCATGTGGTGATGGAGGCCATTGCCTACCGCCAGCCGGTGGCTGGGTCGATATCCAGTGCCGAGGAGCGGGATCGCGAGGGCGAGGAGACGGCGGCGGCGCTGCTCAACGGGCGCCGGAACACGATGCATGTGCAGGGCATTTCGCACTGGGCGCCGGCCAACATTGGTCCATATAGCCAGTCAACCAGGGTGAGAGTTACTGTGTGGATTAAAAACAGCAGTAGATATCGAAAGATTGAAGCGTTTAACCATTTCGCAGCTGTCTCCATGGTTCTATAGTATTAAACTAATCCCTATTCTCTTGCAGATTGGCGACATTACGTATATCTCCGGCCAGATCGCCCTGGTACCCGGCAGCATGACAATCATCGAGGGCGGCATCCGTCCGCAGTGCAAGTTGACGTTGCGGCACATCAGTCGCATTGCCAAGGCGATGAACGCCCACGGCCAGCTGCGAGATGTGGTGCACGGCATCTGCTTTGTGACCCATCCGGCCTTCATCGGCGAGGCGCGTCGCCAGTGGGAGCGTCGCACCACCAACGCCATCATGGACTACATAGTGCTGCCGGCGCTGCCCCGAGAGGCACTCGTGGAATGGCAGGTGTGGGCGCACACCCACAACGATCGGTTCGATTGTAAGGCGGACAAACGGAAATAGAGGATCAATAAATCTAATGTCCATTCTCTACCCTGTTTCACAGATGAGGAGACTGGCTGTTCGGTGGGTGACTACACGATCTCCATACGACGTCGCTGGAATTACGAGAATAACTGTGCGGCTATCGTCTGCTACGTGTCTACTGGCCTGGCCTCGTCCACCACTCAATTGACCCAGCTAAGCGACGACATCCTGGGCAACCACTGCCGTCTGGCGCAATCGGTTAGCGCCGAGCACCTGGACGAGATCCTTACGTATGTGGTAAACCGTCTGCTAAAGGACTATCCGCTGGCCAAGAAGCATGCGCAGCAGCCGGCAAATTCGGGAACGCCACCTGCCACACCTACGCAACCGGGCGGCGCTGGCGGAGATCAGCACCAGTCTCTGCCGGCGATCCACCTGAAACTGTTCTACCAGGTGAATGCCGCACCGGCAACGGATCTGTTGCTCCAGGCGCTACATGACTTCCGGCTCAAGTGCCAGGATACGGCCGCCATCGTCTACACAGTGCTGCCCGCCTGCAGTCTGCACAACTTCAGTACGTTCCTGTCCATTTGCGGGGTGAGGCATGAGTAGGAGCAGGGAGTTGAAGAATGATGGGGAGGAGAACGATGAAACAATTTGCTGCCACCGCACCAAGCAGAACACAGAATATATATATATACACCACTATATATACACAGATATATGGAAAATGGTTGGGTCTCTATTTGGTTTGACACAAAATAGCATTGGAAGAAAGTAATCTTTGGATAATTCCAAGCCAGTTGGCCTTTAAAACTGTGGGTCTAGGGTCAGCCAATATAATAAATCCCCAGTCCTTTTCTGACTTCTAAAGTTATTAAGCATAAAAGAGCTATACTTTGTCATTGTAAATGGAAAAAGTAAAATTGAAAAATAATTACAAGCTAATTGTTTTTTAAGCTTCAGCTCTTGTGAATTTAAATGATAGCAATTAATGGAAGGCCAAATAAATGCCAACATTATCCTTAGATTACTTTGTAGTCCCACAAGTATAAGTTTGCAAAATAATTTACATCAACCCAACTAAATGTAAAAGCAGCTTGCCCTTTGTTGATATTGTTAACTAGCAGACGATCCTAAGATCTGTAAGAAACCATAGAGCCTGCATGCTGTATCCATAGATTAGCTCACTTCGTGTCGCAGTTTCGGACCAAACTCTCACATTTAAAAAAAACTTCCCCAAAACGGATCTATGCAACTCAAGTGTTTCAGCAACTAGCGAAGGAAAACCAAGCATACAAATTCAATTTAAAGCAACTTTATATATTATATACGAAAGCAAACCATTTTTGTGCACTCTATTGCCCAAAAAAACAAAACAACAAACACTGTAACTATACTCTTATACAACTATTAACTATTAATCGTTTTTCGATGTGCTTTTCTTTACGCTCCAATTTTTATATATATATATATGTACATCTCAGCGATTTTTGTTCATTTTCTAATAGCCACAAACTTTTGACCAACAAAAAAAACACTAAAAAAACGACAGCACTGTAAAGCAAATGGGTTTTATATGTCGTAAAGCTTTAAATATTATGGAAGCAAATGATGTGGCCCATTCTTCGACCACGTCACATCATTTTCATTAACGATAATCCGAATGTAGCAAATTCGCCATAGGGAACTTAGTTTTTATCTTTTTTTATATAGATATCGAAATTACCGAATAGAGATTATTGAATGTGTTGCTTAAAGTACAACTTGTCCATAGTTTTTCCTGCACAATCTGCGACAGCAAATAAAAAAACAAAAAAAAAACATTAAAACTATTTTGGTTAAATTCCAAACCAAAATGTGGTCAATATATAATTTGTAATGTAAAGTACGATACAATATCGATGGGGACGCTGAACGGGAGAATGATAAAAACAAGATTATTACATGCTACTATGTATTGTTATGAAAATATATTGATATTGATTGTCATTACAAAAGTCGAAAAAAAAATGAAAGAAACTCTGGGCGTTTTATTCTTGGGCGGATGCGAGCTGATAAGCCTTGCTGGACGGTTCAAGAACTCGCTATTCGAGGTATATATATATATATATATCTGTATATATATATATATATACCTCGAATATATATATATATACCTCGAATATATATATATATATATAAATATATGCTGTGGTATAAGTCTTATCGGCAGTTCATTGATTTATGGAAAATATCACAAATGTACATATGAAGATCTAAGTTATGCCTGGAAACTGCCAGATATACGTGAATTGCTGTTAGAAGCATTTATTTTTTGCACTATCAAAATATTCATGTAATAGTTTTGATATATTTCTACACATACATTGGAATCAATCTAATGTGTAGTTCTTATATTTATGGAAATTATAATTTTAAATGAAGATTTGAAACATTTTTGAATTTTTCTGATGATACCTACGTGGAAATTTTATATCTAAGACTTATTAAAATACATATTTTGTATGTGCTAAATGGATTCAGTCTTATCGGCGTTCATTAATATATTAAAATAATCATTTTAAACGTGTACCTACAAAATTTCTGGAAATTGTCAAATGTTTGTTTGTGTATTTCTCGGAAAATGATAGACAAATTAGGAATTAAAATTAAATCAATGTTTAAAAAAGCCAATTAGTACATTCTACATTTGAAATTACTGGAATTATCCAGAAGTATTTTGAATAAAAGTAAAAGAGTTACCAATTCTTTAAAAACTATGCAATTTTTCATTCGAAAAAGAAATGTGCTAATAACTAGCCAAGTCTAACAATGAAATGTATACATATGTTTGTTCATACATACATACATATATCTTTCCCTATTCACATTTTTAAAAATTATCATTATATTTGGTATCAAATTTTGGAGTGTCATTCTTATTATTATATATGTACGTATATAAAACAAAGTAGTATTATTTAAATAGAGAAACGTTTTGATCTGTCCCAATACTAAAAAAATATTTTGTAAATTCCGGAGAGATAATAATAAAATTGTCAGTTTTTTAAATCGTAAAACTTATTAAACTGGTGTTATAAGACCAATATAACATTTGTAAAAGTTTTAATTTCAATATAATCTTTTCGGTTTCTATAAAAACATGTTCTAATATATTAAATATCAGACAATAATTTAAACTTTGCTTATAAATTATTTTTTCTATTTTGCATACATATGTATGTACATACTTAATATTAAAAATCGAATGATTTGTAATTTCGACCCTTATTATTATGATTATTATCAATTATTTGTGTTTATTATTATTATCCATAATTATTATTAAAACAAGATCTTAAGAAATATAAATATTTTGAGAGAGTGCCTTTGTTTTGCTTATTATTTTGCCAGCAAAATCTTAATATCTGAACAATTTGTCAATAATTACGCCCCACTTAAGTAACGGTAAATAGACCCAGCTGGAATTTAACGGTAAACCTGGGGCAACGTACACGTCAGTGGTGCGTTTCTTCAGGCAAACGCATATTTGCATCAGACAAACTCTAAAAAAAGAAGGCCAAACATCTCACTCTCTCCTCTCCGAAAATGTTTCGGTAAACAAATGGAGAAAACCTCAGAGAGAGTGAACTCCCCAGTGGGCGGTATGACACGTCAGTGCTAGAGGTGTAACAATTTTAAAAAAACATCGATTGAAATATATTTTTTAAGAATAAAAAATAAATAAAATAAAATCTGTGTAATCTTTAATTTTATGATAAATATGTAGCAGATATACGTCATGAGATTAATATTTTAAAAGTATAAATCTATGGTCAAGGTTTTATAAATTGAACCAATATACCACAAAAGAATTCGAAAGAGAATTTATTCTTAATATCTCTTCCGAAGTTTTATATTTTTCCGAATTTTTTATAACGTTTTATTGTTTTTTTGAATTGTTCGATTTCCTGAACCTATCGATGTTTCCAGAAAATTAAAAATATCGACACGTCAGTGATACGCCGGAGCGAAGAGCAATAAATAGCCGAGGAGCTGAGAGCAATAATCAGTTTCAAAACAAAAGTACAAGGAATAACAGCACAGCAAAAGAGAAACGCTATTTAGCAAATTAAACTATTCCACTAAGAACAACGTAACGCGCTGTGACCACAAATATTTATAAACAAATAACGTTACATTTCCATTAGATCAAATAAAAACCAAGCCAAAAACCTACAAAGACTACACTACTGTGACAAAAAGTGACAACTAAATAAGTGAATATTTTTTTAATAGTTTTAGTTAGCAAATGTAAGTAAAAAGAAAAATGTTTTTAAATTCTTAGATAAGTGTATTTTATATACGTTGCTGGCATTAAAACTGTATATACGTTGTCACCAACAAACCGAACACTGAATATGCGAACATATTTTTTTGTTTTTTTTATTGTGTGTTGTTTTTTAAAGTTCGTGGAAAATAAATTTAATTTATTAACTAAAAATCGTAATGCTTGACACAAATTTTATTTTCACAATACTTAATAATTTACTTTGCCAATAAATAAAACCTTGAAGAACTGATTTGATTTCTTTGAAACAAAAAGACTAAGGATAAGTTTCAAAGGCTAACATACTTATTTAATCTAGATGAATAGTACGGTTTTTATAGATATCTAAAAGTAATTTAAAAGTAGTTTAGATCCCCATAAATTTATTTTGTTTTCAAAATCTTTTTAAAAGGCGGTTATTTTTGGGGCATCGCCCGTTTTTCAACACTGAACCACCACTGACGTGTCTTTTTGGCCCCAGAGTTGCACACGGGTGTGTGTGTCTCCGTATACGATTGTGTGAGTGCGTAGAAAGCGCCGGCAAAAAAAATCAGAAAGCAGCAGACTTAAATTCTGCTCCGTCAGTTCCATTTGAAGCGTCGAGAAAGCACATTAAACCGAAACAAAGTAAAACTTGTGAGTTTTTAAGTGATTAGCGATAAGTGTGTCTACTAACAAAATAGTTTGCAACAATATCTGGAAAATGCAATTGCACAGTCAGAATATTCGTGAAATAGGAAAGGAGAGGGGCGGAAACAGGATAAAGGGCCACCAATACACTGCAACATTACAGTCGCCATATTGGCAAAAAAAAAGGAGGCTAAAAAAATGCCTGTCTTACAAAAAAAAAAGATTACCAGCACGTGCCCAAAAATAAATAAAAACGTGTGAATTCAGTTTTCGAGTTGCATCAATAATAGCCAACCTATGACGTGGTAATAAACTGTGACGCATAAATTATGTTAATATCTAAAAAACCACTTCGGTGAATGAACTTAGGGTTATTCTCCTTTATAATGTATTTCCTTATATATTTTTGCTAATTCATAGTTAAAAGTCTAGTCTTTTACATTTAATTTATTGTTAATTTTTAGAAAAGCGCCTGCGCATGCCGCTGTCGGTGTGAGTGGGTGTATGGCTATGCGCGTGTGTGTGTGTGCTCAATCCGCTTGGTACACGTCATTTATTTGGCAGATTTAAGCTCTTTTAGCTTTTCGCTGGCCAAAACTACACGTCAGTAGCATAGGAACAAAGAATTAAACTTCAGTGGATAAAAAGAGCCGAAAACAGCTGTGCAAACTCAGTTTTTAGTGTGGTACTTTCTCCAAGTGCCTGAAAAACCAAAAAAACGAGTTATTTGGCCGGCAGCGCTCTCTCCCTCTTTCTCTCTAAGAAAGAACCAGAAAAATGTTACACGTATACAAATTTCGCTGCTTCCTCTCGCTTTATTGCTCTCTCCGGCGACGTCGGCGTCGGTCAATGTCAGCAGTGAGATGAGCGCTGTGCTTAGCAGTTGCCGGGCAGTTAGCCATTGGAGTAGACGTGTTCTTTAACTGATCTTGACTACATAGTACGCACCGATAAAGGTAGAATCATATAAAACAATCTGGTTGCCAAAGTGGCACAACTAACGGTTACCTGTTGACAGTTGACCGACGTCAGCATTCGCCACTCTCCCACTCTCTCTCTTAAAGAGAGTGCCTGCGTACATGTGTGTGATTGTGTTGACGTGTACAAAAGCCTAGCTTAAAATAATTGCCAAATTAATTAATAATTTTAATTTATTCCTTATATACTTGCAGTTTTCTGAGAGTTCTTCAATATGAGGTTATGCATATTACTGGCTGTCGTGGCCTTCGTGGGCCTCTCGCTGGGCGAGGAGAAAAAGGAGAAGGACAAGGAGCTGGGCACCGTGATCGGCATTGATTTGGGCACTACGTATTCCTGGTAAGTTGTCTTGCAAACCCTTAATCCTCTATTCCACGTGCCGTATCTGGATCATAAAAAGCTTATAGCGATCATTATTTTCATAAATATATATTTTATCTCAGTATACGCGTTACCATTAATTTATTTGTATAAACTACTAAATTTTGTGCTCAAATGTGAATGAATTATAAATAATTGTTTGTATTTATTTAAATTTGCTTTGTTTCTGATACACAAATGTCAAAACTTGTTAGTTCAGATCATTTAAGAATTCATTAAATCGTAGTAATCCGAGTATTCCAAGAAATTAATGAATGGCAAATGTTCCCCATTCTAAAATCGTTTAAAATTCTCAATTTTCTCTTATCTTCTACTAAGTTATTACACGTCCACGTGTGCATATAATTAGTCATTTTCCCTGAGTTTGAAGTTCAAGTTTTACAATATTCTCTCGTGTAGATATGTACTTTCATCACTCATTAATTGATCTGGCAACATAATCAGAAAAGTTTATATTTTATAATCCAAAGTTCTCATTTATGAATCCTTACTTATTTTACCATGTTTCCCTAAATTTCCTTTACAGCGTTGGTGTTTACAAGAACGGACGCGTTGAGATCATTGCCAACGACCAGGGTAACCGCATTACTCCCTCCTACGTGGCTTTCACCGCTGACGGTGAGCGCCTCATTGGAGATGCCGCCAAGAATCAGCTGACCACCAATCCGGAGAACACGGTCTTCGATGCTAAGCGTCTGATCGGACGTGAATGGTCTGACAC